TCCGCGAACGCCCCTTCTCTTGGGCAGGGCCGTCGCCGCCTCCTCCTCCTCCAGTTCCGTCACTGCCGTGGGCAGCTCCTCCGCCTCTTCTGGTACCGCCATGTCATTCATCGCCACCTCTGCCGCGTCCAACTTCCGCGGACGCCCCTTCTTCTTGGGCAGGGCCGTCGCCGCCTCCTCCTCCAGTTCCGTCACTGCCGTGGGCAGCTCCTCCGCCTCTTCTGGTACCGCCATGTCATTCATCGCCACCTCTGCCACGTCCAACTTCCGCGAACGCCCCTTCTTCTTGGGCAGCGGCGTCGCCGCCTCCTCCAGTTCCTCAACCTCCGGTAGTGGCTCATCTGGGTGAATGTTGTGCTCCTCCAACAGCGCCCGGTGTTGAGCCACTTCAGCTTCCTCATCCCCTGCCATTTCCCGCTCTTCGTGGGAAACTGCCACAGCCGATGCAGCCTCCAGCGCTTCTTCTGCTTGCTGCACTGGCTCCGTTGCTTCAGCTTCTTGTTTGGCGGTTGTCTCCGACGCGATCTCCCCCATATCGCTCACGACTCGTAGCCGCAGTACCAGGTACAATGAACTGCGAATCACGTCCATGATGAGGTCACCGTGCGTTGCGTTGCACCCATTAACTTGCATAATGAGTATATGTCCACGATGAGTGCACAGAAACTCTTTGGCTGCCTTGGAAAGCGGAAGAGATTCGGCAAATCCATCCAGAACAAATACGCTCTCGGCATATATCTGCATCTGAAGTTGCCACGGCACTTCGGTGGATGGCCGCTTTAGAATGAGTGCTGCCTGCTGCCCAGCGGCGTCCTCCCCTCCCTGTTGGATGATGTCAAAGGCAACTTCCTGTGGTTCGCCCAGTGTTGTCACCGTTGCCACGCGTAGCGAAATAACGCAATCCGACTGCTGAAGCGCCCCTCGTATCCTTTCTAATCGAAGGGCCTTTGTGTTGGCGCGGGCCTCCTCGATCCCCCCCTTTTCCTCTTCCTCGGCACTGCCAATGTGCACGTCGTTGATGGCGAAAATAGGCAATCCCTTCTTTCTTTGCTGGAGAGCATGATACAACGCGCCCCCTGCAGTGGTGGAGTTTCGCAATGAATTTTCTACACCAATCAAGGCACCTGACGCATTTAGCATTATACCCCACTTGGAGGCAACATTCTTGCGCTCAATGACAATCATACCGGTCGCGGGATCATACAAGGTCACTTTGGCAAATAACTTCTCTGCGGCTTGAGGTTCTTGGTACAGCGTCGGGGTGGAATGGGCCGCCTTTAGGCCAAGACGCTCCGGCTGCATCATAAGCGCCCAACCCAAAAGATTGTAATAGGCCTCAACCGTGAGCACCGCCGTTGTCGCATCCGCTGTGGCGCTGTTTGGCATTGGTGTGGTTCCATTTTCATTAAAAGGCGTACTGATAGCTTCAAACGCCGTCACCAACGCACCTCGAAGTTGAAGAAGATCCTGCGTGTTCTTTCTTGTGGCTTCTAGGGCGAGGTTTCTCTCCGTTGTACGTGGCTTCCCCGCGTGGGACTGTCCCTCCACTGCGAGCCTTGCCTCCAGGCGATTGCACGCCTCCTTGTAGCAGTCACGCACAATGCCAGTCGAGAGTACAGCTGCAAGCGACGCCACTGCCTTGGCAGAGGCGTTCCTTTCCCCAAAAAAGCTCTCTAGCCGCGTGACAAACTCCATCGCTTCCTCATCAGAGCTCAGTGGCACAAGCGCTTCCGTATCGCTAGATACGGCACACGAGGCATAGGCAAGCAGAATACTTTTTTGAACCGCGTAAAGCATCTCCTTGGGTGTTGTGCTGTGCTCTTGATCGAGCGCATGCCGGATCTGGCGAATAATAACGCCCTGCACACGAGACACCTCCGAGCGGTAATGACGGTCGTGTGCGGCATTCGGCACCACCTGCCGCAGCATCCGATCGTACAGCATAAACGGTGCCATCAGTCGCGCCTTGAAGGCCATGACGGCCGTTGCAGTAGCAACCTCTGAGGCGGCCTCCGGCGTGGTCTCCTCCCGCACCGTGCCAACCGGGTCCGTCGTAGCCGTCGCGGACGACGCAGCCCGCCCACCTGACTTCTTCGATCTATACATCGCCGCGAAAGTGGGGGCCGACGACTGAGAAATAATATGCCTTCCCTTACCTTAGTTACCCGAGCAAAAAGCGGTACTACAAGAAACAGAAAGAGAGGAAAAAAAAAAGCAACAACAAGGCAAATCACAACGAAACAAAAAGGACAGATGGAGGCGTGGAGAGGGCCAACAGAGGCAGGGAAGCAGCGCCGAAGAGAAAATCAGAGGAAACGCGTGGGCGCGGTTCGCCGTGTCGATGCAAATGTGCTGACATAAGGGAAGAGGGCGGCGGCGTGGAATGCTGGCCGGTATCAGTTATCCACTACGGGAGAAACCAAACATCCCACGCTGGCTCCATTGTGAGCCCAGCAGCACCTTCCCGCACACTCTCACTCCTTCTCTGTCTCCTTCATTTATTTTCTCCCTCATTCTTTTTTTTTAAAGCATTTATGCAACTCCTGAATCACGTCATTTTGGCCATGCTCTCCCTCGCTTAAATGTGTGCTTACTTCACAGCCGCGTTCGGGACATCGAGAACCCTCATCACCCCATTTGCGTGCTGCGCGGGGATGTCTCGCCATTGCACAACGCCCTCGCTGTCGGTGTGAAGGAAACCAATCAACTCACCCATCTCATTTCCAGACAATTGCTTCGTTTCTTGTAGCGCCTCCGCGTCAAAGGCGTCGGCGAACATGATGCGATCGCCAGGTTTGGCTCCCTCCGGCGGGCGAACGAGGCGGAGCGCGCCTGCGTTGGATGCGCAAAGCACCATACCTTCTGAGGTGATGCCCTTAAGTGCCTTCGGTTTCATGTTGCATACAGCGAGGCACAGGGAGCCCTCTAATTCCTCCGCTGTGTAGTGTTCCACGAGGCCAGAGACAATTTTCCGCTTTTCTGAACCGAGATCCATTTCCTCCACGTAGAGACGATCGGCGTCTGGGTGTCGCTCGACCTTGTTGAAGCGTCCAACACGAATGTCAAGTCGGTTAGGGTCAAGTGTGGCAGCCACCTTCCTCGGCTCGCTCTTCTTACGCGTCTTACCCTCTTGCGCCCCGGGCGATGTCACGGGTGTGGGGGCCTCGGCTGCTTGAGCCAACTTTGCCTGCTTCTCCTTTTCCTTTTCCTGGCGCCGGCGCAAAATTTCCTCCTCTGACGGCTTTACATACACCGTCTTCTTTGTCTTGGACGCATTGACCGTCGCCGCCGCCTCTGCTGCAGAATTGGAAAGTATTGGCGTGAGGTACGCATCGCGCTGCGCGTGGAGCGACCAGGCCAGCGTGGATGGCAGTGCCTCGGCTAACCCATTCGGGTGGCTGTGAATAGCGGCATAAAGAAGAAAGTCCGCAACAGTCGCCCGTGGAGTTCCCGCCAGGAAACCCTGTTTTAGGTCAAAGCTTTCCACGCACCTCTCAATCTCAGCGAAAACGTGCTTGGCAAGGGGCGTTGTCGTGCAGGCGGTGGTCCGATCGCCCGCAACATCCGCTGAAAGAAGAAGCGCCATGGAGACCCATTGATTAACTAACGGGCGGACTTCAGCCTCCGCCCCGGCAAATGCCCGTAGTTCAGCGGTTTGTGTGGTGCTGCGAAGCACCGTCAGAAGCGGGAGGAGACCAACGTGGATCATCGCCCCGTCCTTCACGGCAAAGTGTTCACCCGCAGTAATGACGCGGTCCACGGGGACGGAAAACATCTGAAGCAGGCACTGTACCGCTTTGTGAAGGGACGAATTCCCCTGAAGGATGTACTTGTGGCTCATTGCTGTGTAGGATGGCTTGATACGCAACGAGCAAAAACAAAAAAAAACAACAGCAAAAAAACAACAACAGACGAAGTCAAAAAAAAACATTACAAAGAAGGGAACCGAACAAAAACTGATTGTATATATATATATATGCATGTATATGCATCATCCATTTAGGCATGCAGGACGTGCACACAGCGCCGGCAACGAAGATCGGCATAGATGCTAGTGTATGTAGGTATTTATATCCATTCTCTCCCACCCCTCCGACTCCCTCTTTCTCTGTGGGCCTCTCCTTCTCCCGCGCTTTCTCTATCCCCCTCCTTTCCCCCCACCCCCGGTTTTGCTACTGCTTCTTTAGCCTCCTAGTTGTTGTGGGCCACAAAATATTGGAGAACAGAAGCGAAACTGAATACAAAAGACAAAAAGGAAGAGAAACAAACAAACAAAAAAAAGGCAGGCCCACAGCGGAAGAGACCAGAAAAATTATCCCACGATTGTTGCAACAAGACGCGGCGCAAACGCCAGCCAGACTCGGCCAGCCGCCGAGTGCGAGAGTGCTGCCAGACACTCTAGCAGCCTCTTGATGACACAGAGGCCGGATGCCGGCTGGCCGAGCCGTGGCGCGCCTCCTTGTACGCCGCCACCTTTAGCCGGAGCCTGGGGATGTCGTGCTTTAAACTAGAGTTAATGCCTTTCTGCCCCCACATACTGAGCGTCGGGAGGGAGGAAATGACGCCCCTTCCCGCCGCCGCTGACGAGGACGCAAAGCCAAGAAGCTCCGGTTTCACGATGTTCCTCCAGCGCAACTGCAGGTCTAACGATTTCTCCCGCCCAATAAACAGCTGGCCCACAATTGCGTCACTGTTGTTGAGCAGCTCACTTTCTAGGCGCTGCAGGCGAAAGATGGAGCCGTAGAGAGTGCCTGCGGCAGCGAGAGTCGCGACGCCGGCAATGGACATCGCCGTACCGCTAATCCCGCCCAAGGCGAGGACACATGCGGCCAAGCCAAGCAACGCGGAGGGTGCGAGAACGGCGATCACTTGTTGCTGACGATGCTTCCAAACAATTGCGTTGCATACGCGCCCCGCGAGGAGGATCCGTCGTGCGCCCTCCTCGGTCTCCGTGATGAGGTTGTCGAGGCGGCGCAGCGGGGCCTTCAGCAGCTCCTCCATCACTTCATTCCGTTCCCGCACAAACTCCTGCATCGCCACCACGGCAACCCTCTCTTCCAGCGACGACGCCGATGATGCTTCGACCGTTGGGGCCGTTGTGGTTGGAGCCGCTGACGAGGAGGAGGAGGGGTCGGAGATCGTTGTGGGTGCGACCTCCAATTCTTCCGTTGCAGCGGTCTTAACAGGAATGAAAGTGGTGTAGATGCGCGGAATGTCCTTCATGGTCATGACCTTACTGAGGTTCCAGCAGAGTGCCCCGTAGGACCTGCCAAAGTCCGTCGCCTTGTCAAACATGTCAACCTTGTTCATCACGAGCAGAAACTTGTGTTCAAAGCCGGCGAGGGATTTCGTTAGGACGTCCAGCGTCTCCCCGGTGGTGCCGGGGTTAGCGGGGTCAAACACGAGAAGAATGACGTCGCAGCGAGACGCAAACCACCGCGTGGTCGCCAGAAAGTCGTAGCCGCGCAATTGCCCCTCCAACGATGTACGGTCCTTCACGTGGATTGGGGTGTCAATCATGCCAGGCGTGTCCACAATCATCAATCCCCGTGGGACCCGCGACGTGGTCGGTAGCTGGCGCGTCTTGACTTTGAAACGGTGCACAAAATGCATCCCAAACTTCTGTAAATCCTGCAGCTGATACCGCGGGTCGCTAATACTTGTGGGACCGTCCTCATCACTGTCCCTGTCCCCACGCTGAATGATGGTGAATCCATCATCCGTCGGCGCCACCCCTGTCCGCTGCACCGTGCGGCCAAGAAGGTAGTTGATGATTGTGGACTTCCCCGCGCTGTGGTTGCCCAGCAGCATCACCATCGAGTGCCGATGGTCGGCCGAGGGCAAAAAGCTAAAGACATCGTTGTAGTGCCGCAGGGTGGCGCTCCTGAGCGCGGCGACGGCGTCCTCAATCTCCTGCAGTGCCGCGTCCGCCGCCTCCGTTGGTTGCCCCCGCCACGCCGCCCCAACCTCGTCCCCTCCCCGCAAGTCCGGCCCCTGCCGGTTTCGCCCGATCCCTCCAAACCGCATGTTGGCCGCAGTCGTTGAGGCGAATCCACGGCAGCTGTTGTGCAGCGCCCAAGCGGATGCGGGCAGCCGTCCGCATCGCAGGCGGCGCTGCGCAGGCGAAAACGACGGCGCCGCCAGAGGCGCCAGACCCCCAAACACGCGTGACGTGAGCCAAAACAGGCAGAACTTCCTCTGCAGGGAGACAGCACCCGCCAAGGAGCACATTCCCCACAAGCTACACGCGGCGCCGACAGCAATGAAAGGGAAAAGAAAGGCATTAAGGCGGCACATCCGCACAGGCAAAACGGATAGGCAAGTCAGAGGAGAAAAGAATAAGAACAATAATCACAGTCATAATAACACCAATAATAATACTCCACGTCACCACTCATATAAATAGGAAAAAAAAAAAAAGAGTCTTCAGAACGGCAATGTTGGGCGCTCACACCACCTCCAATCATGCACCCGTGCCGTACGAATGCCCAGCTGCACCGTGTGAGTGCGCGTTGTGCGTGGCCCGCAAAGAAATCGGCAATGTCTACAACAGAGGCTACGGTGCAAATCGCAAATTAGCGAAACATAACAAGGCAATGCCAAAACTGCGGCAGTGAAGTCTCAACGGTGAAAGCATCTGTCTTTCTCACCCTCCTTCCCCTCTTTCTCCCTCTCGCGCTGCACCTCTTTGTATGGAGTTGCTTTGTGTGCGTATGCATTCATACACATGCTGGCCAGTAATCACATGTTATATAGGAAACTCGAAAAACCATTATGCTTTTTCGTACTCCTTCGATCTCCGATTACCCCCCGCCCCCCACTCACACACACATTCCATCCCGTTCCTTCTCCAATTATCACCTGGGTTATTATCTTTGGTATTATGTAACGAGGCAATCCTCGCACGGCAGCAGGTACCAAAAGGCCACTCAAAACAAGAACACACACATAGGATTTCCATATATAAAAACGTAGGAGGCGAGAAATGCGTTGTGCGTGGAATACGTGCAAGACTGACTATGGGCCAACACATCCGCAGGCGGCAGCGCATATCGCTTCTTCCTCCTCACTCGGTCACACAAAACCTCACCCCGTCCCACACAACGGAGTGTGTTCGACACCGCGACAGATGAAGAGACGTCCCTGCAGTGCGGTACTTGTGCTCGCCCCCGCATGCAAGACCGCGCGCAGGTGCGTGGAGCAGGCAACGAAAAGAGCACACAGACACACACACACACACACATATATATATATATATGGAGAAAGATATACGGTGAGGGTTCTGCAACGAATGCAGACGATAGCAAAAGGAAAAAAAAAACCAGCTGTGGAAAGTTACAAAAAAAAACACCAAATAAAGAAAAACAAAGAAGTAACAACGATGAATAAAGAAACGGGGTTAAAAAGGCACGCGCACACACACGTGAAACGAAGATCAGGAGCCGTGGCAAATACAAAGACAACAAGTGAAGAGGCGTGGAGGAACAGAGAGAGCAGCAATGAGGACCGAAAAGGAGAGCGCAGTTAAGTAAAAAAAAAAAAAGTAAAAGGGGACATTCCTTACCAACGATATGGGCGAAAGAAGGAAGGCAAAGAAGAAACAGCCACATTGATGTCGCCTCTCTCTCTCCTTCTAAATATATACATCCCCTCCCACTCCCCCGGTTACTTATACACGCATACGAAGAAAAAGCACAAGCGCGGTCAGGTGAACGGAAAAAAAATATGGCCAAAAACATCGACGGTCATTTTTTTTTGTTGTCGTTGTTTCTTACAAAAAAAAGAAAAAGATAAAACCAACGCATAACAGCCATGAAGCTAAACTCAAAAGTAGTAGAAGAAAAAAAAGAAAAAGAAACCATCACTTCCAATGCTTCTTCCCCTTCGCCTTAGATACAGCACGCACGCCACACCTCTCCACACACGTTTTTTTTTTTTGATGAGGAATTGGGAGGAGGAGGAGGAGGGGAGTTGCCTCCTCGCAAGGGTGCGCTCCCCTTCTCTCCTCCCAGTTCCCTCTTCACGACCCCCCCCTTCTTCACCACACAACTTCTTTTTTCCTTCCAGTGCATTTTCCACGCTCTGTGGGCCTCGACGCTGCGGTTACTTTTGCCTGCCGGTCAGGGACCGGGCGGAAGGAAATCTTCAAGTCTCCCACAGCCCTCTGTTTTTCGTTCCGTCCTTCAGAAGTGGCGCCTGCCAGCTGAAGTAGAGCGAGGGAGAGCGGGGCGTGGGCGATGGTGCCTCGTGTGCGTGTTCACCACACAACCTGTCTGTGGCTCCCGTCGCCCCCCCCCCACTCCTCTCCGCTGCTCGTGTCACCACCGCTGCGGCGTCGCTTTTCACATTTCTCTCCCCTTCGTTTTCCTACCTCTTTCCATCCCCACCGTTCAATCTATTTCGCTTTCTTTTTCTTTTTGTTGTTGTTCTTGTTATGTTCACGTCATCTCTTTTTTCTTTTGCTTTTTTTCCCCCTTTTTGTTTTCGTTTTAGTCCTTCTTACCTTCACTTATGTGGCACTCCTCTATCGCCGCCACCTGCGCCTGCGAGCCGGCGCCTTGCAAGGGCCTCCGCGGAGGCCATCCGCTCCAGCAGCCAGTGGGGGAGCACCTCCATTTCTTCAGCAGTCACCTCAAACATGCTGACGGGAAGCGGTGCCCCACTCGGTAGGCAGGCATTCTCGGCAAAGACGTCGTCAAAAAAGGAATGCTCCAAGACCTCTGCGGCGGAGAGTCGCTCAGCCGGCGTGTACCGAAGTAATTCGCCCACTAGCGCGACCGCAGCTGGCGGTGTGTTGGGCGGAAGCACATTCTGCCATTGAAGTGCCTTTATGCGAAGGGCGTGATACCGCTGCAGATAGTCACTACTAGTAGCGGTACCCGCAGTCGACGCGGGTGGCACTTCAAGGCCAGTCTCACTGGCGTGAAGAAGAGCTTCTGCGCTCTGTGGATTAAGCGCAAAAAGCTCCTGACGTGATGGGGCCCCAAGAACCTTAAATATCTCAGCCATTTGATCCACCGTGCTGCCTCCCTTGAAGAGCACCTCACCACAAAGCAGCTCAGCAAGCACGCAGCCGGCCGCCCAGAGGTCTACTTGAAAATGATAGTACAATGAACCCAGCAACAACTCCGGGGCTCGGTAGTAGCGAGAGCAAATGTAGGACACATTCTTCTCTCTTGGGCCATTCACGCCTGGAGGCTGCATCACCTTGGCACTACCAAAATCACAAAGCTTCAGTACTCCCGTCTCTGGATCAAACAGTAAGTTGCCAGGCTTGACATCACGGTGGCATATGTTGCGTGAATGCAGAAACGCTAGCGCGCGTGCCAGCTGAAACATGGTGATCTTCACCAGCATAATTGGCATCCGCTGCTGCTTCTGTTTCACGTAAATATTCTGTAGGCGGTGAATATCCAATGGCAGGCAATCCATCACAATATAGAGGTACTGTTCCCCGTTGGGACCAGACGCCGTAAAGTGATCCAGCAGCCTCACAATACATGGATGATATGGCACCGTTGAAGGAACAGGTGTTGCCTCCCCAAGCGGGGCGCTCCCCGCTTCCTGTGTCGAAGCATCAGTGCCACCGTGGTCGTTATTCACAGCTTCAGTACCATAACTATCACGTCCAGCTGGCACAGGCTGCGCACCGCCGGGGTTGGGACCAAGGTGGTCACGCAGAAGCAAGAGCTCGCGATTGTGCAGGCGACCATCGAAGAGAACCTTCTTTACAGCGACTGTCTTCCCTGTTTCCCGTACTCGTGCCATCATGACGACGCCAAACGACCCTTTGCCCAGCACATGCAGCGGCTCATACGTCGCCTGACCACCCGCACTCTTGCCGCGGTCCTTACCGTCTGGGTGCTGCTGAGATGTTGAGACCGAAAGAGCGAGAGGGACGGCACTTGCGGCCTTCACTTCCCCCGACAACCGCCTCATATTCCAAAGTCCACCTTGACCTTGGCCTTGACCTTGGCCGCCGCCTCCACCTACTCTGCGTCGCGTCTGCCAGGCTGCTTTCACTCTTCTTTTTCGCGCACCAGCGATCTCGCTCGATCTCTCTCTCTCTCTCTCTCTCTCGCTATCTCGCTATCTCCCTTCTCTTCTCTTCGCGCTTTCCAGTTCCCCTTCCCCGCGGCGGCATTGCAGATGAAACACACAAAAATAAAGAAAAAAAGTGGCACACACATACACACGGGGCAGAGGTGTCGCAAGCAAACAACAGACATGAGCTCACGGCTCAGAAACAGACGGAGCGAGAAAGTGAGAGTGAGAGCAGGTTCAAACCCCAACCTGTATCTTCACCATTGAGACCACGCATCAGCTCTTCTTCCCCTTTATTTTTATGTTTATCTTCCATACGATGCCGGCGCAGCAGCTGCTGGGCGCCCGGCCGCCACACCTCCCCGACTGTTTCTCAGTAGCGCGCAAACACGTGGGGTGTCCCACGTGCGCACGTATGCGAGCGTGGGTGCATGTGTGTGCGTGCGTGTGCCGCGCGGCAAACAGCGCCAACAGTAGAAGAAAAAGTAAACAAGGGACAAACGGAGCCACACACGTTAATAATAGTACTAATAAAATACACTCACACAAAAAGCGACAAATAAACGCGGAACAATAATAATAACAGCAACAACAACAATAAAAAAACTTACAGCAAAAGTATTTCCCATTCCCCGCTTTTGGGCTGGGGAAAAACAAGGACAAAGACAAAAAAAAACGGCAAATACAAATGCTCTGAAAGTAAACGCCTTCAAATCTTGAAACCCTGGGGGAAACCATTAGTTCAATTTGGCCTCCAACTCTTTGGAGCGGTCAGAACATGCGAGCATGGCCTCAATAACGGCGGAACGCATACCACCCTTTTCAAGGCACCGCACCGCCTCGATGGTCGTACCACCGGGCGAGCATACAATGTCTTTCAGCTGTGCAGGTGACACTCCACCTTCCTGCAACATTTTCGCCGCTCCCATCACCGTCTGCGCCGCAAATGCGTATGCCTTGTCCCGTGACAGGCCACCATGCACGGCTGCGTCACCCATCGCCTCCATAAACATAAAGACGTAGGCGGGGGCTGAGCCGGCCACGGCAACCACAGCGTGGATCTGCGACTCCTCCACCTGCGCCACCACCCCCACCGTGCGGAACATCTTCAGAATCAGCTCCGTATCGCCGGGGGTCATCACCGCGTTTGGTGTGACAGATGTGACACCGGCCCCCACACGCGCCGGGACATTCGGCATCACGCGCACAACCTTTCGACGATGCACCAATGCCTTTTCGATTGACGCAATCGTAATGGCTGCCGCAATGGAGAGGACGATTTTGTCTTCCGTCACGACGTCCCGTATCATCTCCGCCACCGAGCAAGTGGCATACGGCTTAACTCCAAGCATAATGATATCCGACTTCCTGGCCACGTCCAACGCGTCCTCGCCAGCCTGAACCCCATACTGCTGACACAAACGCTTGACAGTCGTGGCAGTTCGGTTAAAGACGTAGATGGAGTCTGGGGCGTACTCCTTGCTCGAAATAAGTCCAGCAAGGATGCACTCGCACATGTTACCGCAGCCAATAATTCCAAGTTTCATTTTTCCCGGCGCCTTTTCTTATTCTCTTTTTTTTCCCCCTTTCTTCACCGCTGCCTCCCCCTGTATCTGTCTCCCTATAAGTATTGAAATGTGTGATTCTTCGCTGCTTGAGATAATTGTTTTATCTAACAGGAGAAGTGAAGGCGCGATGGAAGTTTCCCACGTGACTCTCCCCCTCTACAGAAAAAAAAATATATTCACCAACATCTACCGCAAAAAGGCCACAGCTTGCACTCGCACACACACACACACACGCTCAGACGGGCAAAACGGCTCTCCTGTATAGGGATCACACGCACAGCAGCCCTGAAGAACCGGAAGAAGAAAACAAAAAAAAAACACAAGGAAAATGAAAAAAATGCGTTGAATGAGACACACCGCCTCTAATCCCCCGCGCCAACGTTGCCTCCCAAGTTCGTCACATACGCCTTCGGTGCCCGTCGGGGTGGCAGGCGCAAGTACGACAAGGGATCAAGCGGGTCAGGCCGTGCAAGGGCGCTTTGAAACACTTCGGTTCCTGTCTTTACCGTGTGGAACGGTGGCGCCACTGTCGGGTCGTCCTTGCACTTCCAGGTCACACTGCTAGAGGGGCCGCCGCCTGCGTGCGACCCACGGCCGCCGTCAGCAGCAGCGGCACCGCGACGCCCGCTTCGCACGCCACCGGCCATCGCTCGGCTCAACCTCTCGAGCAGCCGAACTGCCTTGGCGCGGTTCTGGTGCACTTCCTGCTTTGACTGCCGAAGGGCATTGACGGCGCTGCCAAGATCGGTGTGGATAAGCTGTTCACGCGTCATGCCTGTGAAGGCGTCCAAAATCTCATCCCCGTTGCGCGCCACCCCGGCATCTAGCTCACCGTCGATGGGAAACCCCAAAAGAATATCAAGTGCGTCAGAACGCAACTCAAAAGCCGCCAGCTCGTTACGAACGAAATCATACAGCCACGTACTCAGCTCCTGCAAAATACCTTCCTCAATGAGAAAGGAACGCAACGCCTCGCGGCGACACTGTGATATGACATATTTGCGGATAGCAACTCGATGCAGCGGAGGGCGTCGCTCATTCATGTCCACCTCATCCTTCAGACGTGCTTCCCGCATAGCGTTTACAACACCTGCCGCAATGTTTCGAAAGATCCCACGTTGCGCCTCCCCCGAGAGTTTCTTCGGTTTCGGTTCTGCGTGCACGCCTTTGACCCCACCTCTGCCGGGCTGCTTTGCTGCGGCCTCTTCCACCTGAAGCACCTCGTCCAAGTCGGCGAAGGGTGCCACACCCAACTCTTCATCCCCGAGGGCAATAGGCTTCTCGCGACGAGTGCGCTTCCCCTTCTTTTTACTGACCACCTTTTCAACTTCTTCGTGGTCGTTATCACAGGCGCCCTCATCCGAATCGTGGTGGCTTTCCTCCTCAGCCTCGGCTCGACGGTGCCTTTTTCTGTCGCTCCTTTTATCTTTATGTTTCTTATCCTCTCGCCTGCTTTTCTTTTTCCCTTTGCTGTCGTGGCGGTGCCGCTCCTTCTTCCCGTCCCGCTTCTGTAACTTTTTCCAGCGTTTGTACAACTCCCTGCCCAGTGCCTTGGCCTCCGTCTTGCTCGCAATGGCCACAAGAGCCTCGTCTGAAAGCGGTGCCACCTCGCCGTCATCCTCGTCCCCTCCGCCACCGCCACCGCTGCCGCCACCGCCACCGTCACCCGCCTCGGCATCGTCGCTGTCCCTTTCGCTGGGCGGCCCCAAGTCAAGGTACATCTCCTCTGCTTCCCCCGCTTCCCCGCCTGCGCCACCGTCCGGGTGTGCGGCGACCGGCGCGGCAACGGGATCGTGCGCGGCTATCCCGAGCACGCGGTTGTCGTCGTCGTCACTGATGTTGCTCATCCGGTGCCGTCCCGTACAATAACCCTGCGTGCGGCACCTTACTGCGCATAAGACAGTCGTTTTTTTGTTTTTGTTTTTAGTTTGTTTGGTTTGGGGTGGGTGAGAGTGGTGTTGACGCAAACAAACAAACAACAAAGACAAAATAATAACAATAAAAAAACAGTGATGGAAACGAGGGCTCTGCAGGAGGTTTGACTTGAAATTAAAGGGCACCAGCTCGCAATCCCACTCCTCCCCACACGAGTCGCTTTGCGCTATCAGGAAAAGGGCGCCACACACACACACACACCGGGAAGACACGCCAGTCAAAAACAAGTTGGGGTTCGCGGCCGTGTCATCATCGCAACGAGGAAGTGAGGCAGTGTGGGGAAAGCCACCTCAGAGTTGCGCCGCGCAGAGAACCTCTCCGCGCAGACGTGTCCTTACTTCGGGCAGCTGCCGCCAGCGTTGCTGCCGCATGGGTTCTGTGGGTTCCGCGGCATTGTTGTTGTTGTTTTCGCCACGCGTGCTTTGTTCTGTGGGACGCCACTGTAACAGACGTGCGACAGGGGAGACCCCGCGAGCTGCAACGGGCAGCATCTGTGTGCAAAGATAGAACAGCCGCCGGCTCCCCGCGAATTGCCAATGCAGCTCAGTCCCCAAATTTACTGCCATTGGCACAGGGGCGGTTGCGCTCAAGGCACTGCTGGTGCCGGCGATAGTGAGAACAGTGGCGGTATTAGTCGTGGGCGTCGCAGAGGAAACCCGTTGCCGCTTTGCAAAGTGCTGACGCACGACAGCTTTCCTCTGCGCCGTCTCCTTTTGTAGGCGATGCAGAAAGTCAGACTCCTCCTCCACCACCGACACAAACGGGGAGGGGTTCTCCTCCCGCGTAGAGCCAAGCGGCCAACTTGGGCCGACGCCCTCGCATCCCCATTCCTCGATGATAATAAGCGCACACCGCCTCCGACGCTGGAGGCAGTCGAGGAGCCAATGGCAGAGCGGCACCTCGTGCCCAATGGCTCGCTCCAGGTGATACAGGTAGCTGCCCTTGCCACCAGCGCCCTCCACGAGGAGCAGCGGAACCGCCACCTCCTGCGACCCCGCCCTGGGGGAGGCACTGGCAACCGCGTGGCTGCAGTAGACGAAGAAGTCGTTCATGTCGAGGCAGTGCACCGCCTCCAGGCGGTCCAGCGCGCCAAGCAGAGCCTGGCGTCGCGCCTCCATCGCCGCGGCGTCCGCCGCTTGAGCCGAGCACTGACACGGCGAGGAAAGAGCAAAGGACTCGGGCGTCGCCGCAAACGTCTCGAGGTGCTCCATGAAGCGACGCATTTGAAAGTTGCCGCTTCCAGGGAGGAACACAATGGTGACGCCGCCGCCGCAGCTGAGATGCTGCGCGGCGAGGCGGTACGCCCACGTCGTCTTGCCGGTGCCCGGAGCCCCGCCGACGACGAGGACATCGCTCTGCCGCAAGCCGCCATCCGTCGCATTGTGGAAGATGGGCGGAAGCAGCCCAACAGGAGAAGCCTTGAGCCGCTGCACCAACGCAAAGGCGCTTTCCCTACGCTGCTTCGACATGTTGTCCGCTTAAGTGGTGGGAACAGACACAACCACGCAGGATAAACCAACACACAAACAACAGCAACAAGAAAATAGCAGCATGCAAAACATAGTCACAAGAAACAGCGGAACATCAACGCGAATGACGCGGCTGCCTCCGTTGCAGCGGCGGGAGCAGCAGATCCGCACATGTACACACGCAGAGGAAGGAAGCGAGAGATTAGAGCAAACAAGTCAACGGTTGAAATAACACCAGCAAATGGGGTGAGGGCCCCAGGGCGTGGACGGTAAGCGCAAAGTTAAGCTTCAATTCCTTTCCTTACTCCCCTCTTTCTCTTCGTATTGTTGTTGTTCTTTTCAGCTTTCAACTCATTCACGTTTTCTTCGTCCCATCCTGTGACCTTTTTTCCTTTTTGTGCTTTGCGAGGCACTTTTTTGTTTTACATGGGGAAACAAGCAAACAAGCAAAAAAAAAAACAAAAAACAAAAAAAGGAACGGCATCGTTACTACGGCCAAACTCAACTATAGCAATGCATCTACGGCAGCAACCATCATTCAAATGCGCACTCCGCAACGGCACGGGGATCCTCCATTTCAGCAAGTCTCAGCAGAGAAATAATTTCTTTTAGTGTCGGCCGGTAGTTGCCCACGGCGGTCTCGTGCCTCTCCATTGCCAAAGCGCACTTGGCAACCCCATCGTAAAAGTCCTGCGCCAACAGAATGAGGTGTCGGACATCCAACTTACCAGCGATGCTGTTCGTAAATTGCAGCAGCTCATCATGCGTCAGGTGCTGCTCAAGTATCTGCGGCGACAAGGCCTTCAGTAACGCTGCAGTGACAAATAGCTCAAAACCTGTCGTGTAGGGGCAACTCAGAATGACATCCCACAGCAGCATTATGTCATCAATGGAAAACTCGCGCTTAAAGAGCATCAGCCTCCATCGAAAGCAGCACTGCATCTCCTCTGAATTTTGCTTCACCAAGTGATTGTAGAGACGTGGGACAAAAACTCGAACCAGTAACTGCAGCTCCTCAAGCTGCTGTTCCATGCCCGCTTTAACATTCTTGCAGAAGTTGCCCTTGCAGTGCTCAGTGAGGAAGCGGGAGAAGCACATGAATGCCTCTTCCTCTGTCTCGGCGAGAAGAGCAATGGGGGAAAGCACATCACTCATCCCCTGACAATAACCCAAGTCAAAGTTTAACATTCCGTGAGTCATTAACACATTGTATAGCATGCGCTGCTTCGCGCCGTCTGCATCCAAATAGGATTCGTGGGACCGATCCGTGCGTACCACGTCCTTTTCAATCGCCGCACGCATTCCACGAAAGGCGGAAAAGTTGGCTTCTTGTTCTGGAAGTATACTTTCCCACTGTTGCTTGAGCTGTTCGTACATGGCCTTATACCTTTCACGCACGGACTCTCGCTGGGCCTCCGTTGACTCAAACAAGTCCGGGTACACGTGAAGCATAAAGCACCACACCTCCATCCGGATTTCCTTTTCTATTCCACCTGCATGGGCAATTGCCAGCGCCTTGGCGTAGCGGCCCCGGTCAACGCGACGTTCCTCTCCCGTGAAGCAACTATTCCACACCTCTGCTGTGAGCGGGGGCCCCATTGCACGGTCTATTGGTGCTGGAATGCGGGGCGTTTGAGATTCAACCGGGATAACTTCCTCCACAAACTCAAACCGCTCCTCTGACAGCGATTCATCGGCGTGCGAGAGAGAGGGCGTGGTGGGACACGTGGGCATGCCCTTCCCACGCTGCTGAGCGAGGTTGAGGGAGCGCTGCGAGCGCACTTTGTCAATTTTTGTGGCGACTGTGGCAGCGAGACGCGATAGCAGGGATCGCTCATGGTTTTCATACAACACGTTCTCCACGTCATTAGGCCGCGGCGACCGCCCAGCCAGTCGTCCGTTCGATGAACGTCGTTTGTCACTGTGGAGGCCGGCGCCGCCCCCGCGCGTCGCAGTCGCGTTTCCAAGTCCATCGGTGGCCGCCGTCTCTGCGTCGTCAGCGGCGTAGACAAGAAAGTCATCCGCGGTAACGCTACTCTGCCGCAGCGGTGAGATGCCCCTTAGAACATCAAGAAACCTCGTCACGCCGCCGTTCATGAAGATCAGCGGATGCCCCGTCGCACCATCGAGAAAGCATAACTCAACCGTGCGGGTTCCATCTGACTGGGTGCGTCTCCGCACCTTTGCAATGTTGTTTACCGCCACACACATAATGTACCTCCATTCTAAGGCCTCCATTGCGGGGGCCTTAGCGCCAGCGGAGCCGCTGGAGCTCAGTCGTCCCGCATTCTGGGCCTGAAAATCAATAAACGAATATGGCACCCACAGCAAGAAGTATTCTCCGCAGCCTCGCGGCTTAGCAATAGAGGAAGCTTTGTCTCGTGTTGTCTCCTCCGAAAAGAGGGAGGAAGGGGATGGAACAGATTCTTCTGTGTCATCAGCAACTGCATTCTCAACCGACTCAGCTTGATACTCCTCTTTCCGCAAAATTATTATTTGTCCCACGTGTCGTGCACCGCTCCTGTCATGGTCGCATTTCACAGTGACACCGTCCTTCACCAGCAGAAACTGCTGCGGAGTGGAGTGCTCCAGCAGCTCCAAGGCTAAGGCCCTGGCAATGGGTCCCATGGTATACTGGAAAACCGTAGAACTCTCTTCGTCTCCGCCTGTTTTTCCCCCTCCCTCTCTTCTTTTGTTTTCCTTCGTCTTGTGTGGTGTACGCCTCCACCCCCTACTCGCTACTGCTTGGACGCCGCCCCCTTCGTATGTCAGAAGCACACGCCCACGCTCGTCTCAGTCCGTCAAAAGTGCAGGGGAGGAAGAAAGCGAGTGGAGAGGGGTGCGTAGCCCCTGCTGCGCGACCATCAAGAAAACGGAGCGGAACCACACAAACAGACACACAAAACAAGACGATAAGAAGAACAAACTATAGGCATTTTGTTGCCACACGCCACTCCATCACACCAACGCCTCAATGCCGCCCGCCCCACAACACTCGTACAGTAGACTTTTATTATGCAGGAAGTATCCCTATATATCATTCCACAAGAACCCTGGGGGCGGGCAGGACATTACCAAATAACGTCATTTCCAGCATCAACCTCATTTTAGGCCGCGCGGTAAATAAGATGCACACCGAGTTCCGTCTCCACCGGTGCACTTACCCTGCCACAGTCAAGCGCGAATGCCGCGAGGTCGAAGCTCTCCGTATAAGTGCCGCTCTCCACCATGCCCAAATCACCATTCCGTTTGGCAGAACCACACTCACTGTAGTCACGAACCACTGTGATAAATTCATCGAGCGACCACACCGCTTTCTGGTCGCCATGACGCGCGAGAATCGCCCCCGCCAATGTCAACGCATCGGATTTTGACCGCGTTATTTTATCACCCTTATTACGCGGGGCGAGAGAAACAGGACGACGCACATCCTTATGCTTGATTAGCACCTGGTACAGATGCCGCTTTTCGGTCGGCGGCGGCAACACGGGAGGAAGCGGCTCAGGAGCCGTGACGGAGCCGGACTGCTCTGGGGGGGCCTGCACCGACACTGCCACTGCAGCCGGAGGTGGAGGTGCAGGGGCGGCAGCAGCAGCAGCAGCAGCAGCAACACCCTGCCCCTGCTCAGCCTTGTCCACCTCTCGCTTATGGGTTTCTAAACTCGCAGTGACGGCCCCGCCATCCCGTTTATCCTCCGCACTTGTGGCAGCCGTAGGAGTGGTATAACTGCCAGCCTCCCCCACGTGGCTGTCCCTAACAACAACATCACGGCTAGAATTATTCTCCTGGTCCTTTCCCTTCGCGACTGCCTCTCCCTCCTGCTCTTCACGCAAGCGCTTCGATGAAGGCGGTGGCCCTCGAGCAACCTTGTACATGCGACTACTGAAACCAAACTGAATACGGCTACCGATAGGTGCGGGAATGGGTCGTCTCCTTTCAATGCGGGTGCCGTTTAGCTTGATGCCGTTCGTAGAACCCAAGTCCATGAGCACAAAGCACTGCTGTTCACTGTGAAAAACGAGAACGGCATGAATGCTGCTGATCGACGGGTGCTCAAGAACGTAGTCACACACGCGGCTTCGTCCAAACAAGTAGAAGGGAAACCGCTCAAGCCCCAAGGATGCCATTGGGACCCCATCACGGGTGCATTGCAGATGACATGCAATGGCAGGAAGCCCAGCCCACGGCGGACATTTAAAAAACGGCGTTTGCGCGTTTAGCTTTGCGGGCTCTGTGACGCTCCGGATGTGTGGTGGTAGTGTCTTGGCCTCCTCCGACAGCTGCACCACTTTGGGCGCCGCCTTCTTTGCTACCTCGGCCGCCTTTTCGATGCTTGTTACCCGTGAGAGAAGGCTGTTCTTGCAAGAGACCGACATCGCTCAGCAAAGTGGCCTGCACCCAAAGCGGCGTACGCAACGTGTGCTCTGTGAGGCTCGCTTGCTCCCTTCGTGGCAAAGGACCTCCCGCAACCCCCGCTGCTGCAGCTCCTCCCCACCTTCTTTGACTTCACCTGCTCTGTGCACAGCTTTGCCTGCGTTCCTCCGCCCCCTTCGCTTTCGCAGTAGACGCAGCCGCAGTCGCGTGGTGCGGGAAATGCAAGCAGAGAGGCGAAGCACGCGAGGTGCAAGAAACAAACAAGTGACGGGGGAGAAGCGACCGCGCACACACTCACAATGAGAAATAGAGAGGGAAAAGGAAAGGTAATAGCAACCGACAGGGGGAAAAAAAAGAGGAGGAGTAAGCCGGGAAAAAGCAAGTGGAAGTAAATGCGGAAAGGACACACAACTACACACGCACGCAAAAAAAAAACAACAACAACAACGACAAACCGTCAGAGTCTCCTTATAACACTGCTGCAAACCCTCCTGCAGCGTCGTTACACACCCAGTGGTGCCCCTTGTAGTTTGGCGAAGGCACAGGCACCGTCCCCGCCGCAAACTGAGGTTAAACCGTTAGACTGCGCTGTGGCCGTTCCACTTTCTCACACGTTCACGATGGGCCCAACAGCTGTTCTGGCTCGGGCTCCATCCACGGTACGGGTCTGCCAACGCCCGCATCACCTTTGGATGCATCGAAAAGGGATGCGCCGTCCGTCTGTGGTTCGCAAAAACCATCTCCCCACCGCGGCCATAGAAGTTCCAGCCGTTCGCCGTATCATGCAGGCCTTTGGGCAGTGGGCGTGGGTCCTTCTCCGCATCGCCCCCGCGGAAGGCGTTGTCGCGGCTAGCGTACAACGCGGTCAGGCGACGCTTGAGTTCGTCCTCGTGTTTCTCCGTGTGTTGCACAATGGCGGACAGGCGCCGTGACGCAAACCGCCGTGGGGTGGAGGCCTGGCGAGCAAAAGGGGGCGTCGTCGAGGGTCTCTGCCCTTCTTCTCGCCTTTGCTTCAAGTGCGCCAAAAGCTCGGAGGGCGGAGGAAGCTCCCGGAATGCCTCTTTTGGAAACGCAAAGGGGAAGTGGCACAACGTGTAGTACCGTGACTCCAGCGAGACGGCGCCGTGCAGGTAGTAGAGCAGCGCGACAAGCCGATTCCGTACCTCCCAATGCGCCTCAAGCGTGCAGACAGGTGGTTTGGCTGAAGCGAGGGCCGGGGTTTGCCGAAGCAAATGCAGCGCCCTATCCCACTGCCCCAGCTGCAGCAACGCGGGCCCAACCGCGGCCATCACCCAGTCCGTCACAGCAGCGTCATCCCGCTCGTTAAGCAGGCGGTTAAAAAAAGAAACAGCCTGCTGTGGGTGGTGTAACGCATCAAGCTGCAGTGTCACGCTCCCCGTCTCCTGCAGGTAGGGGCCCGTGGGGGAGCCGGGTGCCTCAGGCTCGCCCTCCGGGGCCACTAGGCGGCACTCCCTCGTCTCCCGCGGGAACGAAGCGAATAGAAGGTTCAGCGTTGTGGGCTGCAAAGGCCGCATTTTTGCATTGTCGTTTCTAGAATTATCAGTAAAATACTGCGATGCAAAGAGCGCGGTCGCCTCTTCCCATCGATGCTGGCTTCCCAAACAATTAAGAAGCCGCTGCAGCTCATTTTCCGAGAGTGTCAATTCCTGTTGCCGGTTCTGCTGCTGCTGCTGCTGCGGCGGCGGCGGTGGCGGCGGTGGTGGATGCCCCTTTCCTGCCGCGCTTGGAGCGTCACCACTCCCATTGACATTACCGGAGGGGACGCCGTCAAGGGGAGGTGTGTCGCTACTGCAACGACGACGCAATTCCTGCAAGCTTCGTAGGGCCATCACCCACTGTCCATCGTCTGCCATGGAACACATCATGCATCGTAGCGCCGCTGTTGAAAGCTGCCAGACGCCTCGCGACGTCTGTGACGCCTCTTCCGGAGCGTCGTTTGCCTCCTCTGAGACAAACAGAGAGGCCAGTGTGTGCGGATTGGGCCGGGTCGCTGCGGTGGTTGCCCTGGGCTGTACTGCCGCGATGGCGTGCTCCCAGGAGCCACTCCTGGCAGCGGCCTCTGCCACAAGACTGGCTACGCGCGCCCTGTCATGACGGCTCCCACCTGTGCCTAAGAAGTTCTCCACAATGTACCTCGCCTCATCCAGCATGCCATGCTCAGCCACTAGTGGCAATAGCGTCTCTCCCAGATGCTGTTTTGTGAGCGACGAAAAATTAGAGCGCCGCTCCCCTTGCAGCAAACACTCGTATCCCTCGCGCGGATAGCGTAGACGGGCATATGCCCATACAAGTGAGACCCACAGCCCACTACTAGACGCAATCTCGCCCGTGTACGCCTTGTCCCGCAGCGAGTTCAGCGTGTGCAATGCTTCCCTGCACCGCTGCGGTGCCGTCTCATGGGCGAGGCCACGGATGACCCGTTGATAATCCTCCGCGCTGCGCCCAAGTCTCGCATAACCGGCGTCGAGCACTTCGAGGGCGCGGCCCCAGTCATGCGCATCCAGCGGCAAAACGAGCCGACGCCGAATAGCCTTTTTGGAGTGCGCCGTCAACATCGCATGACGCGAGCGGTGGGGCGGGTGGCTGGGCTGCGTCCAGAACTGCGTCGCATAACTTCCATGACGTGCAGCCTTTTGCAATCCCTTCATCAACGTGACCTGCGTACGGGAGAGTCGGCAAACGTGCATAGGAGTAACACGGGGGCAGAAACAAAAAAAACAGCAACAGCAATAAGGGGAGAAGAAAAAAAAAAGTGACGGAAGCGACGAACTTTAAGCCGCATCTCTACAAGTAAAGGAATGAGAGACATGCTCTGAGGCCACGCAAGCACGCATGCGTCCAGGGAACTACGTCGAGGGTCACAAAAAACAACAACAACAAAACTAACAGTGAGAAGAATCTTAAAGCCTCTTTCGCGGCGGGGCAGCACTGCGGCACGATAAAAGAACGAATTCTCATGCACAACTCACATGTTAGCGCCAAATCCACCGCACCCTCCAAGACAACTTCGCTGGAATCACGTGTGAAGGACAAAGTCCCCATCCATGTTTTTTTCATCGTGCTGTGCGGCTTCTGTGTGCTTTTCGTTTGCCTCCCCAGGCCGTAAACGACGGCCCTCAGTTGTGCCCATACGGCCTTGCTGGGACTTGTGCCTGCAAGGCTCGATCGACGGCTGCCTTGAAGGACATGGGCGCAAGGCCCGACTTCGCCACCTTTTGTGCAAGTTTCGGGTGTTTGTCTACAAGGCGGAACAACTCCTCGCACACTGCGTAGGACTGCCGCAACTCTTCAATAAGCGCCGCGTTCGTTGTGTGAAGACGCAACGCAAGACTTTGCATGCGCTTCAGTTTACTGTCCACAATGACGTCTCGCTGAGCATCCTTTGCCACCAGTTGCTGCTGCAGTTCCTCAATACGCTTCAAAAGAACCGTGTCAGCCTCGCCCTTGCCTTTTTTGGCCCCATATTTCCCAAAATTTTCCTGCTGGTGCTCGTCCTGTGGCTTCCAATGCCGCGGCCCAGCGTGGCCGCCCTCGGGGGACTCAGGAACCGCAGGGGGCTTCTCCAGCGAGGTCTGCAGAAATGTTGTAAGCGTTTTAACTGCGGCGTCCACCTGTGCGCCGCGAACGGTGGCAGTCGTCTCATCCGCATCCACCGCCTTGCCGCGTGACACGACAGAGGCCACGCTAAGCAGCCGCCAGAGGTAGGAGTTCTGTAGTTTGCTCGCCTCCCGCAACTCCGCCGCCTCATCCTCGAGTCCATCAATCTTCTCACGCAGTTCCTCCATTTTGACGCCTGCCTCGCCCATTTCGCGACTGTGTATTTCCTGCATTTGCTGGTGGACATACTGCAGCTCTTGATGTTCAATGTGAAGCTTTGTCAGCTGCTGCAGGTACTCATCACCGCGGCCTTTCTCCAACAACTTGGACTGCGTCTTGGCAAGTTGCTCCTTTAGTAGCGTCACCTCCTCCTTGCCGGCGCGCTCTGCGCCCTCCCTGGCGTCAATGAGGGTATTCAGCTCCTTGCATGTCGTCTTCAGTTTTTTGTTAACAGCCACCTGCGCCGCGTTCTCCTCCTCGAGTTCTTTGCAGAAGTTATCCAACTCATCCATAGACGCCTGGATGGCGTTCTTCTCATCAAGCGTCTCCTTCAGCATCTGCTCCAAGTCACGCACTTCCGCGCGAAGTTGCTGCTTCTCGCTATCGTCGGCAAGGCCCATGGCGGCGGCGGTGGTATGTGCATCTGATTGGGCACTGTTCCTTTGGTCCGAGAGTCGTCCGAGTGCCTCGGCAAGTTCCTGCTGAAGCTGTCCGTTTTGCCGCGTGAGTTGCTCAATGATGATGCGCTGCTGCTCAGTTGGCGTCGTCCGTGTCGCGTGAGGAACCGCCGCCGCCGCCGCAGGAGGAGGAGGAGGAGCTGCCCCAAGACGAAGGAGTTCGTCCAACTTTCCTTGAAGGCGTTTGATGCGCACGTTTTTGCTCCACAAGTAAAGTGTTGTCGCCAGCATCATGCGCTTGTAGCGTCGCAACTCCGCCTCCATCATGCGCAGCCTCGTTTTGGCGTCTGCCACCTCATTCACGGAGACCTTGTTCTTGATTGCCTTGGCGCGCGCTGCGAACTGCAACGTGCTGCGCGACTCATCCACATGCTGCACCGCTGGGGTGATGCAGCAGAAGACAGCCGTCAGGGAGTTCCCGCCAATAGCCGTTTTCAGCAGGTGTGTGAGTCGCGAATCCCGGTAAGGGACAAACGTCGCTGCCGCCCCGCCGCCCTGGCCACTGCTCTTTTCCGTCAGACGACTTATGACAGTCGTGAGGATTGTGAGGGACTTGTTGATGTGGCCACCCTCCACCTTCCGCACCCCCGTGGAGCCGGTTTTGGCGACCCGCTCGGACCCCGCCAGGTCGACCAGGTTAAGCGTGGCGACAATCTTTCGTCGCACGCAGTCGCCCCCCTCCCCGTCCTCCTCGCTGCTCATGGAGGAGGCGTCGCTGGAGTCCGCAAGCGGAAAGCTCCTCTCCACAAGTATACGAATCACACAGTGTGAGCGGCTCGAGATTTCATTCATAGCAGTGGAGGCGGATACGCGACCCGCCACATGGGCGTGGATCACCTGCGTGCATTCCCGTGCACACGCAACCTGGCGCTTTATGGCGTTGTGCACGTAGACGCCATGCTCATTCTCGCGTATGGACAAGGGCGCCGTTGCCGCTCCCGGCGCAAGCAGAAGGTCCCGCAGCTGCTCATTGTAAATCTCAATCACGGTCACGTGCACCGCCACCTGCATGGATGGATTTCGCTGCTCCTCCTGCTCAATATCTGAAAAAAGGTCACGCACGGCAAGTGTGACGATGCCCTCCGGGGCGTTGTAGTCACCGACAAGACTGCCACCCAGCATGGTATAGGACTTGCCGCTGCCTGTTTGGCCGTATGCAAGCACCGTTCCATTGTATCCCTTGACAACATTCGTGACGATGCTGTTGCGCACACTACGCTCATACAGCGACCGCGTTGCGGCGTCGGTGCCGTAGACGTGATCAAAGGTAAAGAGATTATCCGGATTGCCCTTCTCACGCAGTGTGGAGGCGCTAATATCCCAGGCGGTCTTTACTTCCTGCAACTCCGTTCGCATTGGGCGCACACGAATGAGCACATCGATAGAACTTCCCCTGGCTTTACTGGCGCCGCTCATAATTTTTGTTGTAGTCACCAAAGGAAAAAACAAACAAACAAACACGAAGAATTGATCGGTATATTTCCGAACCTCGTTGGATATGTGTTTTATATATATATATATGTGTGTGTATTTGTGTGTGTGTGTGTGTGTGCGTTTCCCTCAGTTAATTATTATTGTAATCTATCTTCGCTAGTGTTTTTTGCTTCGTGTTCTCCCGCGCGGCGGGGTGCAGTTTCTGCGGTCACGAGCCACACCCACAGGCAGGCAGTCGCCGCGAAAACTACGACGGCGGCGCGTTTGTATGCACGGCACACGGAGCGGAAGAAAGCCCCCGTTGCAAGCCTGGTCCGTTGTGGCGTGCTCAAAGTGGCGAGATGAGTTTTGGCGACGTTGCGCCCCACCCACCCCCTCCCTACACACACACACCACGACAACCGCCCCGCACGCAGCTCAACACGCACAGTTAATCGCAAGGAGAAAGGGCAGGGAGAAAGAGAAGTGGGGAAGAAGCGGCGAGCGCGGCACGCAGAGCTGAAGGAAGGGGGCGCAGAAGCGAGGGATGGCGGACGGCACGACGCCCAGGGAAGGGGAAGGTGCGGGCCCCAGCAGAAGCGCCGAATATTGTTTACTCCGTAAAGGCAATAGTGAAAGAACACACAAAGAAAAAAAAACATGCACGCACACGCACGCCTTTCCCTCCTCATGGGTCGTCTCATCGTGATTTTTTTTTTCTCACATCAAAGGGGTGCAAGTGGCGTGGCTCGCGTCAGCGGACGGCACGGAGCGACAACAATAGAAGCCAAGAAAAAAAAAACAATGAAGGAGAGAATTGTGTCGGGGCGGGAAGCATAGAAAACAGGAAGGAAAGCTGAAGGTGACGCTCCAGAGAGACGCAGAGCGTGGCGAGATGGGGGGGGGGGTACAAAAATCAAAGCACAGAAAATGGTGATGCGTACGTGCACGCCATGGTATAAGCATATATATATATATATGTATAGCAGTGCCCTCCTTCACCTTTTCTTCTTCCTTTTCCGTTCCCCACAGACACACAGAGACACTCTTGCCCTTCCAGTTTTTTTTTCCACCTTCACTCTTCTTCGCTTCCTCGTTTCCAAGACTGCTCCGCTTTCCACCTCCGCCTCAGTTGTACACCATGTACTTCGCTGTGGCGCTGAACTTGTGGAGTCCCTTGATCACCTTGTTGACGGCGTCCAGGAAATCCTTCTCGTTGATGGTCTTGCGCCGCGCGCGAATGGCAAACATGCCAGCCTCTGTGCACACCGATCGCAGGTCTGCGCCGGTGGCGTTCGGGCACAAACGCGCGATTAGCTCAAAGCGAATGGTCTTTTCACAAGACAGGGATTTGGCGTGGATGCGCAAAATCTTCGTGCGGCCCTCAAGATCAGGCAGTCCAACCTCCAGGCGACGGTCCATGCGTCCTGGGCGCGTGAGTGCGGGGTCGAGTGTGTCAGGGCGGTTTGTCGCCATGATGACCTTCACGTTGCCGCGGGAATCAAATCCGTCCATTTGGTTGACCATTTCCAGCATGGTGCGCTGGATCTCATCATCGCCATCCTCCCCGCCCCGGGCCCCGCCCACCGCATCTACCTCGTCAAAGAAAATGATGGCCGCTTTCTTTGATCGGGCCAGTTGAAAGATCTCGCGGATCATACGGGCGCCCTCGCCAATGTACCGTTGCACCAGCTCGGAGCCAATGACGCGGATAAAGGTGGCGTCTGTGCGATTTGCAACGGCCTTTGCCAGCAGCGTCTTCCCCGTGCCGGGGGGTCCATACAAGAGCACACCCTTTGGCGGGTCAATGCCCAGCTGTGTGTACTTCTCTGGATGGGTCAGTGGAAGCTCTACCACCTCGCGGATGCGGTCAATCTGCTCCTTTACGCCGCCCACGTCGTTGTACGTGACGTCCGGTTTCTCCTCCACCTGCATCATTGACACCGAAGGGTCAATACGGGGTGGTAGTGGTATTTCAATGTGAATGCTGGAATACCCCAGCAGAACACCAACCCGCATCGACTCCTCAATATCCTCTGGAGCGACACGATTACCGAGTTTCACGACGTATTTGGCGGTGTCGCGAATATTCACAATATACTTTGCATCCGCCTGTCCCTTGTTGAGGATGCGGGTGCAGCGAGCAACATGGAGGGAGTTCTCCGAGCGCATCACCTCCTGATCACTGTTGAGGTCCCATTGCACGGGTGGTGCAAGGCCGAGTTCATTGTCCTTTACACCTGCTAGTTTGTTCACCTCCTCCCCTTTTGTTTTCACAAACTCCTCCAACTCCTTCACTGGCGCGTGGTACGGGCCTGAGCCGTAGAGCTTAAGGAGCGCAATGTCGTCCTTGTCGAGGGGGATAACCTCCTTTTCCTCGTTGTCCTTGTCCTTCACACGGACGGTGTTGACCGTCTGGCACGCACCCTTTTCGTTTACCATCTGTGGATGTTAGTTGTATTCCGCCTGGCTCGCCCGACGTCAACGACTCCCTCCTCCTCCTTCCTTCCTTTTTTTGTTTTACTTCCTTTGCTGCCCGTTTTGTTCTTGTTTTTGTTTTTACTTCTTTCTTTGGGGCTTCTTCGGCTTCCTTCTCGACTTCCTTTTCTCAGTCGCTCTGCACCCCAACTGTGGTCGGCGCCCCGCTTCCCTGCAGGCCACGCAAAGTACCAGAGAGAGAAAGAGAGAGCGCGTGTGTAAAGAAAAGAATGGGGACAATAAAAAAGAAGAAGAAAGAGACATTCATCGTTCACGATCATCATTGCCATCGCAATCCGCAGCTTACACCACGCACATATATATAGCAGCAAGACGCATACAACATACGTGTATGAAGTTATATCAGCCACACGCACAGGGAGAAGGACGGATATATACGCGCACATATGCGTCGAGTGTCGAAAGAGCCAATTCACGTATCCTTTCAGTTTCCATCGTGCAACTACGTACCACTTGTATATATATATATATATATATAGGCATAGATGTATATACGCATGTGTGTATACTGTCGCACCCCCGCCCATCTATTCACGACGCCGAATAGGCCTATGTGGTGGCTTTTTCCACGTACTTGGGCTTCCCCGCGTTCCATGGGACGTAGCGGTGTTTTATCATGTGCTTAATGCGACCGCCCATCTGCGTCACTGTCAGGATGATAAAGTACATCAGAAGAATTGGCCAAAAGACGGGGACGTCCAGAAAGTTAAACAGCGTCAGGAAGAGGCAGATTGATACAACCTTGAACATGCTCTTCCACACCACAAACTCCTGCACGCGTGGAACGAAAGGACGAAACTCCCCATCACCAGCGGCCGTCCTTGGCAGCGGGGAGTCTTCCGTGAACTCGTCCTCCGCGAGGGGCGTGATGAGTAGCAGCAAGAGGTACAGTAGGTGAATGCTCATGCCGTAAGTGATGACATAAAACCCGCCATGGACGAAAACACGGAGCATATAAAAAATCAGCAGAAAGGTAAACATGGCCCATCGCATTGAACGGTGTGGCACACTCTTGTCGAGGTAGCGCTGGTAAGTTAGGTAGGTCTTGCGCTTAAACTCATCCAGGACCGAACTTCGTCCGGTAATGTCTCTTGGTGGCATTCTCCCTTACTACCCTTTCTCTCTCAAGATACCGATGTATACGGATCCTTCCCTACAATTGCAATGTTGGCAACTTACAGAACTCCCCTCCTTTTTCTTTTTCCTCTTCTCTTGCCTGTTGCTGCTGTTGTTTGCACGCCAGCACCCAAATCTCGCCTCCTCTCAAAGGCAATCCGTGCCCCGCGGTATATATATATAGATAGATATACGCACGTATGCGCGCGTGCAACCGCGCGGTGTGGGAGATAGAGAATGAGAGGTAGGAGGAGAATGTTTTGAATGCCTTCCTGCAAAAGACAACCCCGCCTCGGGGAAATGAAGCCGGTGGCTGCACGTCACACCTGCAGTGGGGAGAGGGACACGGCAAGAGACGGAACACCGCAAGACGCACACGCCCGCCCGCCCACCCGCAGGGTTCCAGTGGGAGGAGAAAGCGAAAGCGAGAGGGAACGCACACACAGGCGTGCCCAACTCTGAGCTAAGAGAAATAAGAGAGACAGATCCCGTTCGAACGTAAACAAATGGCACACGCAAAGACAGCAACACCACCAAAGCAAAAACAACAACAACAACAACATGCGGCGACAGCTGTTGCGGTGAAGGAGGGGGAAAAAAAAACGGCAATACACCATCAAGCTCGTTTCCTAGCATTTCCCCCGTTTTGTTTTTCCTCTTTGTGGTGCTCTCTTTGCTTGGCTCTCTTTCTTAAACGCGATGGACAGAAACAACGACCAAAAGCATGTGCAGAACCAACGAGTGGGAGGGAGCGTCATCACTCCTCCTCCTCAAAGACACGATCCACTTGCAGTCGCTGCATGTCGTACTTGTGGTCCGCGCCACCCCCGCCGGACGCATCCAGCGCTTCCACCCACCCCGCCTTTGCGTTCGGGTGGGCGTCACAGAATGGCAAGTAGGGTTTAATATCAAGCACCGGCGTGCCGTGCAGGAGATCGTGGTCGGCAATGTGAATCTCCAGCCCACGCACAGCAACAAGCCGCACACATGAGATTCCAATAAAGTTTGGTCGGTGCGGACTTCGCGTCGCAAAGACCCCACGCAGCTCCGTGTCGCGCGGCGGCACAAGCATCGTTTTGAATCCTGCGGAACGCTCAGCGCCTTGTCGTCGTCGGCGACGCTGCGTTCCCGCGGGCAGGGGCTCCACGGTGCCCGGCCCGCCCCCACCCTCCCGCTCCTCAGCGGAAGTGGCGTAGGAGAAGGAGAAGAGCACCCAAATGAATTCGAACCCTCGCAGGTCCCGGACAGCGTTCTCAAGGCCAACCCGCAGCTTAATGACGGCGGTCTGGGGCACAAACTTTGCAGTGTGCGGCTGTCGCGGGGCCGAGATGTGCGTTCGCATCAGGCTGTGCACCACCCCAACCCCGCAGATGGCGTACGGTTGAAGCTTTTCCGGACTCAGAACGATGCGTACTAGGCGATTTGCATGCAGAACGGCGCGCTGGAAGTCTGCCTCGTAGGCAGACACGTCGTGCGTCTTCCGCTGCAGCCGCTCCTCGACGCACGCCTCCACCTCCTCTGGAGTCTGAAGGCGGTCAAAAAAGAACACCTTCGTAGCGGGCACCGTGACGTGGCCCCGTGGCGCGTCTCCGCCGACGTGCGAGAGGTGCGACGCCGGCGGATCAAAAAGGCGCGCCGTGATGCTGGTGGTGGCGACGTCCGCCTGCACCACCTCCGCCGGCCAATACGGCAGCCCGGCCGGGCGCACCCAAACAATGTCGCTAGGGAGAAAATAATGCCGTCGCACGGTAAACCGCGTTGGGCGTCGTTCGCGCACCGCCTCGCCGTCGTGGCTGGCAACGCTGCCGACAACATCCCCATCAGAGCGCTCCCGCTTTGGGAAACACCTTTTCACAGGCGGGATCGGGCCAGCCCCACCATCACTACTCATAACAACTGCATCCTCGTGCTCCATGAAAACAGTGCAACAACCTTGACTAGGGCAAAAGGAAAACGACGCTCCCCCTGTCCGGGAGTGCGTGTATGTGTGTGTGCGTGTGTGTGCGTGAGAAAGGAGAGGCTTCTAGCCCTGAACGACCACTGGACGCAAATTTGAAGAAAACAACAACAACAAAAACAGAATGCAGTGGAAGAAAAGACAAAGGGTGAAGGAGATAGATACACATATAAATAGATATATATAGATATATAGATATATATACCACGTAGGACGGAGTCGGGAAGAAACACACCGCATTGTGTGCGCCTCGCTGCGGTGACCTATTGCGCTTGGGCGGGCATGGAGGGCGGCGGGCCGTTCTCCGGATCCAAGTCGCGCCAAGACAAAAAAAAAGCCGCAAGGAACTACGAGCGCAGGGTCGCCCCCTTCCCCACGGCAGGCCGCAGTGCGTCCGTCAATTCATTGGTGTGTGTTTTTTTGTTTTCTTTTCTTCCTCGTTTCCTCTTTGCAAGTCTTTAAGCGTTTCCCCCTTAGCCAATTGATCGAGTGAGTCACTGCAGTCTTTCTCTGGTTTCATCCCGGCGGCACTCAGCCGGTATTCGGCACTGAGTACAAGACGTGCAACGCTTCCTCCGTGGTCGCATCGTACTCGCTGACGGCGTAGCCAGCGGCCGACATCCACGCCGCCCGCTCCGCCGCAGTGACAAAGCGCCTGACAAAGTGCAATTCCCTGAAGACTGGAACCTCCTTCAGTAACGTGAAGCCGAGCTTCTCCGTAAAGAGGCGAATGCTGGGCGTGTTGGTGTTTAGAATCTTCGCAACAAAAACTGAGGCGCCCAGTTTGTCAATGGCGTAACTCATCAAGAGCCGCACGGCCTCCTCCCCAACGCCCTGCCGACGAAAGGTACGTTCGGCCATCATCACCGCCACTTCGAAGCAGCCTCCTTTTGCGTCCGAGGGGGCGGCCTCCTCGTCCTCCAACAGTTCCGCCTCAGTGCCGCCAAGACGAAAGAGGTTACAGTCTCCAACCATCACGTACGCCTCACAGTTGCCACCCGTGCGGCCCGAGCGGACGGGGACGGAAGGTGTGCGTGCCCCTGGCGCCTTGGGTCCCACACCATCCAGCGAAGCAGCACCACCTTCATCTCCCACACGCACAATCTCTTTTCCCTCGGCTGCTTCACCGTCTCCGGCATCGCCATCATCCAGTGGGCCCTTCACTGCGGTGCATGTTCCAAAGGCAGTAGCCCCCGCAATTTCTTTGGGCGGCTTCCTCGCAATCACAGAAAGTGGGGCTAGAAGAATAAACGTCAGTTTGTCCTCTGCACATAACCAATCGCGCTGATTTTCGTACTCCTCCTCCAACGTAAGCCTCTCGCTCGCTGTGCACTGCATCAGCTCAGTGTCGCCCATCCACTCATAGTACCGAGGGACGTGGTGCGCCAAGTACGGCACGAGTCGCAACCGGCTACCACTGACTAACACATGTGCGTTGTTCATGCAAAACGTGAATGGGTGGGGTGGGGGGCGCAGCTCACACGTGCGCTACACCGAATTGATACAAATCGCTTTTGGCAGGCGCGCAAATGCGCACGTGTGTGCGTGCGCGTTGTAGGGAAAGGAAGAGGGAACAATGAGAGCCGAAGAAACAAAAAAAAAGAGAAATAAATAATAAAACAACGAAAATTAAAACCGTCACCGGGGCAAAGGAGTGAGTGGGAGTAAAAGAAAGAGATCAACAGGCAAGTTGAGCCGCACGCGAAGCCCCAGCTGCCGTTCAAGACACAGAGTGCAGCACCGCACAGAAACAGGGGAGAAAAGCACTTGGCAAACACACTTCGCTTTCGCTCTTCAAACACACTCCCAGTTTTTTTCCCCCCTGTCTCTCTCTGCGCAAGATAAGGCGCCCATACTTCGGTGTGGTTTGGATTGCAGAATCGTTTCATGAGAATCGATGACGTCATTACGTGGGGGGGGGGGGGGACTCCCTCCTACTACTCCACCAGCCGCCAGCATAAAAAGGCGTGAACACATGTAAATAGAAAGCAGTTGCCGAACAAAAACAAACAATCAAGCAAAAGCAAGAAAACAAAGAAAGTTTTCTTCTCATCCCTTCAACGAGAATTGAGGGGAGAAGTGTGTGCGTGCGTGTGTCTTTGTGCTTGGGGCACCGTGCAAATCTGTGCGATGACTTCTTCCACTGCGGTTGCTTCCTCTTCACTTCCCCACGTCCGCTTTGTTACTCTTTGGCTTTGCCAGTTTTTTTTTTCTTCTCTTCTTTCTTCTGTCTGATATATAAATATAAATATAAATATTCTTTATCCGTCCGCCGGGCTGTCAACCACGGCGCCGCACTCACGCAGCGCGTCCCGCACACGACGCCCGGCACTCCCCCCCCCCCCGGCATCACACGCACGCACAACTACTGACAAGGCACGGGCAGGATGCCGTTTTGGGGGCATCCTCGAGACCCCATCGTCGCGGGCAGCAAGTGTGCAACTGCAAAAAGCAAATTAGGGCAGTTGGGCGATGGACTGAAACACATAGTCGTGAACGATTTAACAGATGACTGTTTACGCAAGTTATTGCCTCTCACTCATCCTCCGCGTCCGAGAAGGATTGATCCAGCGAAGCCTCTACAAGACGCCTCACGCGTTCGTCGTATTTGTCCTTTGCCGTTGTGTACAACAGGGCCGCCTCACCGTTCGCGGCGGAATTTGGATTGGGGTCGGACAAGAATGATATGATCATCATCAGCAGGGATTCCACATCGAGTGTCGGGCTCCATGCGTTTTTCAGCGTGTCAAGGCATACGTTCCCATCAACGTACACGTTTGGATGAAACATGTCCTTTGTTAGAAATCGAACTTTCGGTGGCGCACACGGATACTCCTCGGTGAAATCCAGCCGCAGCTTGAAGACCCCGCCCTCCCAGACGGTGCTGTCGGGCCCAAGCACGACGGCCCGCCAGTGGAAGAGGTCCCCGTCGATCGGGCGCGCCGAAAAGAGCGGGTTGGAGGAGCACTGTATCCTTTTTAGGTCCTGCATGAGCCGCCGACGGGCATCCGCGGCGCTGCGGGGGTTCCCCTCTGCCGTGCGCGCGTAACCCGAGGGGCCCTGCCGCCCCGCTCCCACCCGCTGCTCCTCCTGCTGCGGCTCCGCCTGCCCAAAAAGGGCGTCACGTCTGCGAGCAACCTCCAGTGCCTCGGCGGGGTTCTCGGTAGCCGGCAGATCCATGATGTCTCAATTTGCTCCCACCCCCTACCTTCAGCAACAAGCACAAGCAGCCGCAACAAAGGGATAACCCACACAGAAGGGAGTAGAGGGGATAATAAAAAAAAAAAACGAACAGCAAAAACCTGAAAAAAAAAAGAACGGAAAAAAAAACACTAAGAGTGCCGATTAAAATGCCAATCAAACACACGCACACTCACAAAACACTTCCACTTGGGAGTCTCAAAGTACTATGCCCCCAGTTGCTGTAGGCACACCTGTTTTTAGCTTGCTTTGCTGGATGGGAATAAGCTAAGGATAAGGCAAAAGAAGCGAAAAGGCGAGAGAAATTATCTGGGGAAGAAAATAAAGAAGCCGTCAGCAGCAGTCACCTCCTTCAGGCACATGCAGCCCGCCCACCCCATGGACACACAGAGAAGCAGACAAATGCAGCAAAATAGAGCTAGAGCAAGAGCGATGCTTGTACTGACATCTGCATGGAAATATTCTTTTTCTCTTTCTTCCATTTCTTCTCCTTTTCCCTTCGGTTTTTTTTCCTGCCTTTTTTTCCCATCACCCTCTCTCATTTTATCTCTTTCTTTCTTTTTCTTCTTCCCCCCCCCCGTTTCCATCGTCGCCATCACATTCTTTTGCTGCTCGCTGAACATAAAACACTGGAGGGAGAGGAAGGGCGTGTCATGCGTAATAGTTCAGGCTTGACTTTTTGCGCGCCTGAACCGCCGTGACACCCTCTGCAAAATCCTCGTGTGCCACGTACACGCGGTCGTTGCGCAGCGCCAGCATACCCGCCTCCACGCACACCGCCTTCAACTGCGCCCCATTCATATCCTCCGTCATGCGGGCAATTTCCTCAAAGTTGACATCCCCGTGAAGAGCCATGCGGCGGGAGTGAATTTCAAGGATTCGCGCCCGCGCCTCCTCATCTGGAAGCGTAAACTCTACCTTCCGATCCAGTCGTCCACTACGCAGCAGGGCGGGATCGAGCACATCAACGCGATTTGTGGCAGCGATTACCTTCACGTCATCGGTACTGCCGAAGCCATCAAGCTGTGAGAGAAGCTCCAGCATGGTTCGCTGCACCTCCCTGGAGCCATGCTTGCCGCCCTCGTCGGAGCGACGTGACCCAATGGCGTCCAGCTCGTCAATGAAGATGATAGTTGGAGCCTTCTTCTTGGCAAGGGCAAAGGCATCACGCAAGATACGGGCCCCCTCGCCAATGTACATCTGCACCAACTGAGGCCCTGCAAGTCGCAGAAAACATGCATCTGTGGCGGCTGCACACGCACGGGCCAGCATCGTCTTTCCTGTACCCGGTGAACCGTAGAGTAGCACGCCTTTCGGTGGCTTAATGCCAATACGTTCAAACCTTTCCTTTTCAGTGATGGGCAATACGACGGCCTCGATCATCTCATTAATTTGCTTGTCAAGGCCACCCACATCCGTGTACTTTTCCTTGGGCTTCTCCTCAATCTCCATCGCCTTCACACGACTGTCATACTCGGGCGGCAGTGTGTCCAGGACAAGGTAGGTGTCTTTGTTAACCCCCACCAGGTCTTGTGGCCCAAGTTTGTTCGCATCCACCAGCCCCACCACAGGGAGAAAAACGGTATGCCGGTTTGACGTCTTCACAATGGCACTCTTTTGCTTTCGCTTCGACTTCTTTCTGCCCACGTCCAGCTCCTCCACCTCGTCCTCGTCGTCGTCCAGGTCCAGGATCTCCGAGATGCTGGCTACTAGGTACGGCAGCTTGTTGTTGTCCTTCACCCGTTTCTTGTCCTCCGCCACCTCCTTCTTGATCCGCTGCAGCTCGTTCATCCTCGAACGCTCCTCGTTCTTTAGCTGCTGAATCTCGCGCTGGAGTTGAGTTGCGCGGGTTCGCAACTGGGCGTTGGTGAGGGTGTCAATATTTGCTAATTCTTCGTTCGACACCATGCTCGCCTGTGGGACGTTGCCGCCCTCGCGTTCACGGCCGCCGCCAGCTGATGTTGCCTCTTTGGACATTAAGCGACGGATCCAGCGGCGGAGTAGCGGGAGAAGCGCCGACTTGCCCCAGCCTCCGGCTTAGTCTGCTCCTGCGCTGCCAGCTCACGCCCGTAGCTTTGGCTGCTCGCGCCGCACGACGACCCTGCCCTGCCCTGCCTTCTCGCCCTTGCCAGGGCAGGAGTAAAATATTCCTTGCGTACGCGTGCCTTTCCGTGCAGCTGCCGCGAAGCCGTCTCACTTGTAGGATGTCTCTTTTCGTTGTATTGCTCTTCGTTTTTCCTTCCTTCGTTTCCGGTGTGGTAGTTGCGCTGCTGCGACGCCGCCGCAGCGTTGGGTGGAGATGAAGAGAGTCAAAAGTCAACAAAGACCATGCATGCAGCCCCAACACCGCGCCACATGAGAGGGCAAGCAGAAAAAAAAAGGGGGAGGAGGGGGGGGGGTCTAGGAGGCACACTGCTTCTCCCTCTACACACAGAGACTCTCTGCTCACAGCACCCGCCCGAGTACGAGGCATAAAAATAAAATAACGCACATCAAGTATACACACACACACACGCACAAACAAACAAATAAATAAATATATAACTGAAATCATAATGCGTAAACCAGCTCAAAGCATCACCAACTTCTTCTTTTTTTCCTTTTTCATTGTTTAGTTATTTGCCGCATCTTGCTTATAATTTGCGTTTCTTTCACTGCAACGATAAATATGTCACGAGGTGCAGCCTCTTCTTCTACGCAGCGCATTTGCGGCAGCGGGTGTCATGTCTGGCGCAGAGAACTACAACAGACAGATATGTAGGGGAAGGCAAAATTGCACCACCCGGACGCTACGCACAACGCGCACGCCTGTCTGTCCTGCGTTGTTATTTTTTTTTCCTCTTTCCGCTACTCTTCTTCGGTAGCGATCCCTACACACAGCCGGTGGGGGTCGCTGCCGGGATGTTCGGCTTTGTAAAGCTCCCGCATGATTCCGCTGAGCCGTGTATGGGTCTGATACAACTCCCGCTGACAGCGCAGCGCCTCCGTGAGGAGTTTTTCGCGCTTTTCCCTCGCAGTAGCAGCCCCCTCCGTGGCGCACCCACCACCGCACAAAGACGGACTACCGGCACCCACTGCGGCAGCCGTAGCGCTAGTTGCAGCGTTGCTCGCCGAATTGGGCGCCCTCCTTGCGTCGACACCGCCTGACGCAGGGCCGCTGCGACGACTGGCCCCTGCACATGTGCCGGAGAGGTCCAGTGCGTACTTCTTTTCCAGCAGCTGACGCAGTTTTTCCACCTGCTCCTCAAAGGCGTCGTCAAATTGCGCAGGAAATGACACGGACTCCGGTGTGCTGTGCTGCCGACCGGCCTGCGGCGTGACCGGGGCGTACGGGTTACGAGGGAGCGGACTGACATCATTAGCGACCCATCGCCCACGGCTCGCCCCGCCTGCTTCCTCCGCGTCCTCCACCACCACCTCCGTTTCATGGCCGTTGCGATCGAAGAGGAGGTAATGCTGCAGTGCTCGCTGCGTCAGCTGCAGCGTCAGCTCGACCACATCCGGGCGCAGCGCGGCATGCGGCTCCTGCGGGGGGTCGACCAGGACCTCCTCCTCCTCCTCCAGAGTCTCGCCTCTGAGGCCGCTGCCGCTCCCACTGTGCTCTCTGCCGCCCGGCGGCACCGCGTCGTCACTCGTTGCGGTAGCAAGGTCGGGGAACAGCTTCTCCATCACCGCGAGCACAATGACGGAATACTGCTGACGGGAGATGGCGCCACGGCGGTAGGGGTCGTGCAACGCCTGCCGAATAATCGCGGCTGCCTCCAGTTTGGCCGGCGGAAGAGCGGTGAACTGCGCGGTGGCTGCTTCGCCCTGCCCCGCTCCACCTTCACGGCGAAAAGCGCCGTACTCCGCTTCCACCAACTCCCGCAGGCGGCGCAGCTCTCCCTCGTCAAACGGCGATGACCGGCGGTGCTGCGGGGGTTGTTTTTCGTGCTCATCTTCGCGGCAACGCACTGATGCATCACGTTGACGCCGCATTTGCGCCGTGTGATTGCCGTTACCGCTACTACGGCCACTTTGGCGGTGCTGCCGCTGCTGATGGTGATGGGCGAATTTATTCCCGTTGCTCCTCTTCGCATCGGTGTTCGGAGAAAACGAAGCACGTGACTTCCGTCTGCCGTCGTCGTCGCTCTTGTCGTTTCTGGCGCTGCTCTTCTCCCGCCAGCGTCCCCGCAGGAATTCAAGCGACGCCTCCACGCAAATCGTGATGAATGCCTCACGTGAGAGGAGCGAGGCCCCTGTCACGGCGGCCAACATCGCCTTTGCCGCCAGCACCGCCTCGCGCGCCGCCGCGCGTGACGCCTCATGCTCCGGCGTCAGCTCGAGAAACATGGGCAACAGTACCGGCGTGTGTGTGTGTGTGTGTTGCCTCTCCCCGTTCACCTCCCCCGCCGCTCGCCTCGCACACGGCACGCCCAAAACCCCCCCCAAAAAAAAAAGAAGGAAAACGGGATACAGGAGGAGAGACAAGAAGCAATGACGAGGCACTACAAGAAACAACCAAAGCGGCGCTCCAGGGCTGTAGGGCCCCCACCAGGCAGTCAACTTGGACAGTGAGAGAGATGAAGCGCCCCCCGCCCCCCGGCGGAGTGTTAGCAGCACGGTGCCAGCGTGAACATCCGGTCACTTTCGTCCCACGCCGCAGTCACCTCCCCAATGCCGTCCTCCCCCGACGCACAAGGCGGCGACTCCAACGCGCCCTGCGTGGCTTTCGGCAAGCTGCCCACCGAAAGCAAGAGACTCGTCTTGGCCTCGCAAGCGTCACCCTTCGGACCGTCCGTGTCCCGACAACTGAGGGAGTGCCAGTGGCCCGCAGCGTCCTGCAGCCAACATATTGGGCCACCGCCGCCGCCGCCACGCGACACCGCCCGTGACACGAGTCGCACAAACGGCACCCCCACCTCCGCTGTCGCCATTGCAGTCGCTGGGAGCAGCTGACAGTGCCACCGTCGACCGGAGGCACCACCGCGGCCGACGACAGCCAGCAAGGTGGAGCCGTGCAAAAAGGAAATCACAACCACGGCGCACATCGTGCTTGTGTCTTTCCCCAGGGGGTGAGGCACGCACTGTAACAAAGTGGGCTCCACAAGCCGCGTTGTCGCCTTATTTTCTTCCTTGATAAGCTTCTGCAGGTTCAATCCCGCACGGTGCGTGTTAAGTGGCGGTGTCTCAAACTCCGCTTTCGCTTGTGAACCCCGTGCGGAGACGCGGCAGCTGAGCACGCACGGCACCGTGTGCACCGTCGCCCCCGCAAAGTACATCATCTCACGAGCAAAGACAAACTTATCCTGCGTTGCTGCTCCCTTGTTCACCGCTGCCATTTTCGCACAAGTGTCAGGGCGCCCGGCTGGAAGAAAGTCAAACAACGGGTGTCCGTCACTGCCCACGCGAAGAATATCCACGACTCGCACCGTCGCCGAGGACACAGCACCAACTCCCTCCTCTTGGCCCATACCACAGGCCACGTGCAGAAGCAGAAAGAAGCACTCACGGTAGCCGTCGCCTCTTGCAGGAAGCGACGCCACGCCGGTTGAGAGAACGAAAAAATAATTTCGTGCAACAGATGCAAACAAACGGATCATGCACGGAAGCAGTGAGGGGCTCTCATCATCCATACTCCCCATTGAGTTCATTTCCACCGGATTTGTGTTGTGGCCGACATGCGTCGCAGGCAAAGGAGGATGCGCATCACCCACACATAGCACGTGCCCCTCCGCCGTCATGAGAATTACAGTGCCTCGACACACAAGCAGCAACAGAAGCGCATGTAGCCAAGTTGCACCGCCCACCTCAGCGAGGCTCGGCGTCGTCCCAGCATCCGTGCTCCAGAAGGACGCCATGCAGATGTCAGCTGAGCCAGAGGAAAAAAGCAGGATCAAGGCGTCCACCTGCACCGTGTCCTCTGGATGCGGCCATTGCACTTTTGAAAGTCGTGTGCAGAAGACAGTGGTGTCGTTGCACCTCCAGTGTGCATCACGGGGCGTGCTGCGGCGCACGAGACAAATGTCTCCGGAGCGAAAGACGACAACCTCGCCAAGACACGAATCCGCCGCCTCATCCTGCAGAATGGCGCAACGGCAGAGTGCATGCAGCGGGGCATGCGGGACGCTTCCAAGGTTGTACGCCACATCAACAGCACTCGGCGGTTGCACCAGCGGCAACAAACCCACACGTAACGGAAACCCGCGGGAATTAATTCCTGCTTTCACTATGGAACCGTTACAGGCGCCAAACCACGTGAACTGTAGCGTCTCTCTTCCCTGCGGCACCAACTCTGCCATCAATAAACTGCAATCCACCTGCTGGGTCTTGTCATCCTGGTGAGCCGCGAGCAGAAACGCTGTGCCCTTCGCGTCGTCCCAGTGAAGAGCAACAAACCGGTGAAGGTGCCGCAGGAGGCGTGGCACCTCGGAATCCCATGCGGAAACCCTGCGACAGTGCACAATGGTCATCTTCACCACATCCTTCTCATTTGTCTCCCTTCGGAGGCCTCGTCCACCAGCAGCGCTGACAGCAGCAGCGGCAGCAGCAGACGTCGTCCCGACCTCCAGAAGAAGAACGTCGCCTGCACTCCGCATTGCCAAGACAAGAGCAACGACGCGCCCCTTTCCTCCCGCGGCGCTACTCACGCGCCGGGGCTCGGAGGTCGTCATCGGACACGCGACAGCGCTTTCAATAAAGCCGCCAACCGGACAACGCGCCACCTCACCCTCTTCTGCAAAAAGCGCGAAATACATTTCGTCTGACTTCGTCGGATTGCGTGCTGCCGCCCCAGCCAAAGGCTCCCACGCGGCATGGGCACTCTCTTCACGCAGGAGCGCGCTCATGGGATACATAACATGGGCCGCTCGGAGAAATATGCCTAAAACTTCTTTGCCGCCTCCCCTGTTATCTCCCTCTACGGGAGCGGCATGCAGAAGGAAGGAAGGGTGTGCAAGCGTGAGCGCTTCCAGGCACCACGGACCTTCCACAAGGGCCCCGTGCAGTGTCTCCAGGCGAGCCACCCAGCTGTCATCGCCACTGCCTCTTGGCGTCTTTGGCCGTCGCCGTGCGGAGAGCATGCAAACAGAGAGACGGTCAAGAAAGGGATCCCCAGTCACGGGGGCGCTCTGGTGCAGAACGGCGAGCAACGGGTACAGCTGCTCGTAGTCGCGCGAACACGACATCCAAGTTACGGCCCGTACCTCCCCTGGCACCCCGCCCATCCTCCCCAAATGCAACGACCCCACTGTGAGCTGGCAAAACCCGTGGAGCGTCCGCCAGGGCGACGGGGCGCCGCCCCCCACGTCCTCCTGCCAGGCGAGCTCCACATACTCCATCCAGCCCACCACACGCGCAAACACAAGGCGCAGGACAAAACACGAGGAGGTGTTACGCGAAAGACGGGTCGAGACACTTTTCCAGCCGCGTTGGCCCTGCTGCGGCGAGGGTGAAGACGAACGCAAGGGATAAGCAACGGTGTTGGTGGTGGTGTTGGTGAGGGAAGAGGAGTCAGCTTTACACGCCTCTAAAATGGCACTCACCGAGACGCTGATTTGGCGTGGGAGAGTGTGAGGAGCCGCATTCGCCTGCACCTCCCCAGAACACCACCGCACCGCCAATAACTGGGCCTTCCCTGCGCAGTGGCTCGCATCATTCGTCCCCGGAAAAGAGTTGAGGGCGAAGGAGGCAAACGCCAGGCAATTACACTCCATGACAAAAAACAGAACGACATGTAGGCCTTGAACGAGCAACGTCGACACGGCAGCGACGCCTTCACGTTTCCCAGAGCAGCAAGGGCACTCCTCATGTGGCTTTGCCGCATCAGCCCCGCTAACCGTCACCACACGGGCGACTCGCTGCAACTCCCTCAGGAGGGAAAAAGAACCCTCCGTTGCCGCATCTTGGGTCGCCCTTTCCTCTGGAAAGGAGATGCAGCTCGGCCGTCGTGACGTGGCTTTGTTGGCTGTTGCGCGGCTCGCATCGCTGATCATAAACCATACAGAGTGACTACCAAGGCAAAAAACATCCACCACATTCCATGCCTCGCCCTCCTGTCGTGTGTACGCTGCTGCCGCTGCTAATGATGACGAGGATGGCATGGATGTGGTCACCATGCTTGCGTGTAACAGGCGAGGCATGTTTGCTCCTTCTCTCACACATACACTGAGAGACTCTCCAGAGCTAGCACGTCAAGAATAAGACCAAAAAAAAATTAAAAAAAAAGTCACATCCACCGCCACTGGAACATCGGCATGCACGCACCCACATACATACGCCGAGAGAGGGAGAAACGTCGGCCCACCAGGAACACGGAGAACCAACGCTGAAGATAGAAGAGCACAGTGCATGCATTCCACTGCAGAGCCAACGAGAAACAGACGAACCTTCAAACAAATTAGAGGTGGTAGTAATAGTTTGTCATTTCTCGAGAAAACAAAAATAGTGAGATGCACTCGGCAAAGGGAAGACAAAAATGGGAGGATGTGCCACTCGCTCTCCCCTCTCTACTTTCGAACAAGAGAAGAACAACAACAAAAGAAAGAACGACGTGACACAGATGGTGCATTGTGAAAAGGAGAGAGAGAGAGAGAGAGAGAAAGAGAAACACGCGCCACGGCAAGGCCCAAAGAATCCATCACTCGCACAGAACTAGAGAACAATGTTCGTTACAGCCTCGCCTCGCAACCGTACTCCTTCACAAAATCTTCTGTCACGGTTGCGGCCAGCCGAGACGCCAACTCAAAGGCGGCGAGTCCTACAGCCCGCACATCCGTCGCCTTCCGCGCATTGGCGGGAATCGCCACCGACAGGCCATACTCTAGGCGGGGATCCTCCTCCTCGTCGCGAAGGACAATGAGGGGCTGCCGCTTTACCTCCCTCACGGTGACCTTCACGCCTGTGTCGGTCACCTTTTCGAAGAGACGCGTTTCATCCTCCGAGAGGTAAACCAACTGACCATGCTCTGAAGGCAGCACGTCCGAGACATCATCCTCGGAGAGCTGAATGATGGGCACCGAGGCAAACGTCTCCACCTCTTGTCGGCGCAGCGGAGGCCGTGAACGAAGCAACAAACGTACGTCAGGTCCACGAGCATGCGTGCACCAGGCCGTCTGCACATTTACCCAGGTGCTATTTACCGATAATACCTTTCCCTTATTATCCAATTCAAGGTGAAGCTGATCCTTCGCCCGCTTCACAGTTCCGCTGTATGTGAGCTGAGCCCCTTTACCAATCGGCGTAAATCCTTCAGGCCTTAGTATTTCCTCCTCTATCTTGGGGACAGAAGACTCTGGTAGTGTGGAGACCCACGTGTATGGATGATTCAACTGCATTCGTTGCTGGAGCGTGTATGACGAAACAATGGAGCGGTTCTTCCGCATGGCGGATGGCTGTAAAAGCAGTTTACCAAAGTCGAGAAACAATTCTCCGTCCATCTGAAGGTTGCTCATATTTAAACAACACCACTGAAGTACTTTGCTGTACCGCGAACGAATCGCTACATCCTTCTCAGATGCACTCAACGTGTAGCATTCTGTGTTTGCTGGAAACCCTGGAAAAGCCGTGGTATTCACACGTGACACCACCACATCTGCTGCAGTATTGCTAACAAGCAACTGAAAGGCCTTGGGAGCCATGTTCGCAGATCCCTCGTAAAAGCCTGCCTGCGCAAGGTCCAAAAGTGTCTCCGGCTGCATCACAGTGGATTGGTTCCACCGACCGTACCCACCCTGCTGCTGCTGCTGCTGCGTCGGCGCCTGACCCCCATGCTTGGCCGCAGAGTCCTTGGAGTGGAGGTACTCTTCCACCTGCCGCACAACCACTGCCTTCTTGGCCGAAGGATCAGTGCGAACCCCGGAGCGAGCAAGAAACCCCTGCAGCTGCACCAGAGAAAGGGAGAAAAGGTTCCCTTCGTTCCACAGCGCCCACACCTTCTCGGGTGACACGTGCTCCGCTTTGGCTGCCTGCTGGTCCATCATGTTGTTGGCGGCCGTGCGCTGCATACCGCCTTGGTGGCGTCGGCTGAGGGCGACGACAGCGGAAGGGACAAGAATAGAGTGCCGCAATAAACGAAGCATGATTCCGCAATGTACTGGATTTTTTTTTCCCCCCTTTTCTTCCTTGGCTGTGTTGTTTTCTCCTTAATTAAGATGTTAACCTTCCGGGTGCTGCCGATGTTTGATGCCCTTGACGCCCCGTACTTCTGTGGCTGAAAAGTGCGTTCGCCTCCCCCCCTTTTTTTTTGCTTTCCGTTTCTGAAGCAGTTCCCCTCCCACACACAAGAAAAAAAACACGGAATGATCACGCACGCGTAGTGATGTTCTCCGCACAGTTCGCTCCTTTTTCTTTGTTGGTTCCCTTCGATGCCTGTCGCTGCTCCCCTCGCCGCCGTTCCTCGTCGCTTCGGGGGATTTGGTAGCTTTTTTTTCCCGCCCGCTGCCCCCGCGGCGAAGGAAAGAAACAAGGAAAGAAACAAGGAAAGAAAGGGGTGGGGGAAAAACGAGCGTCGGAGAGGTGGAGCCACGTCAAGTCTTCGCCCGTCGACCGGCAAAAGGCGCCACCGCACATTCACAAACACACACAAACGCTCAGTTGCGGCGACGCCGTGCATCTACGCCCGCGTGCCCCCGGGGCGGCCAGGGCAGCGGCGGCGCGCCACCAAAACGAAGAGTAGCAAAAGAAGGAATAAGCATAAAAGCAGCACACATGACGAAGTCGCACCAAATGACGAATAAAAAAAACGGGGTAGGAAAAAAAAATCCACTGGGGTGTGTGGGGTGGCAAGCCAGTGATAAGGGGCGGAAAACAAAACAATCACAACGCAGTACAAGAAGCCACCCACACACACAAAAAGAAAGGTAAACAAAAACAAAAACAGAAGTTTGATCTTATGCATCTACTGGTTGCATCCTGTCTCTATTTCGAGCGTTGTCGTTGTAACTCGCCACCGCAGCTCCCTGCATGAACATCTCCTCCCCTTCCTTCCCTCCTCACATTGTGCATCTCTCTCTATTTTTCCCTCTTCCCCTAGTAACTCCTCTCCACCGCTTCACTACATAATATTTGCCCTGCAACAGGCTTGTACTGCGTGAGACAGGCCCATATGTTAGGGAAATTGCTACGGCCCGGTGTTCTGCCGGGAAAGGTCTTGCGGGATGGGAATCCAGGGGGGAAGTATGAAGAAAAAAAAATAATAATACAATATAAAAAAAAAATTCCTGCGCCCCCCACGGATTTCATACGCGGCAGACAAGTTGCATGTTTGCACCTACGCATGTATCTATGCGTATACTCAGACACAGACGCGCAAATACTAAAATGCAAAGGACAGAGGAGGAGTGTCTGAGCATTGCTTTCCTTCGTGCCTGAGAGAGTTGAACCGAGGTCGCGGAGCAAGAACAAGAGAAATCCCTCGTCCCAAACCAAAACAAAAGCTCAAAACAACAACAAAAGAATGAGCAAAAAAAAAAAAACTTGTATGATCTATGGTACCACAGGGGACTGCGTGCGCGTGCGTGTGTGCTGAAGTGGGAAGAATTCCGTGCCTTCTTCTTCGTCCCAAGCCCCACATGCGGCAACAATTTGAAGTGTCGAATTACTGGCAGACTCTCTCCAAGACGGTGTGGACGTTACTTCACCTGCGATGGTGTTCTCTAAGCATTCTGCGGCAGTAAAACTCGCATCTAAGCAGCGCGATACGGGCTGTGCCGCCGTTGGCGGTGAATATTGCGACTGCTCCCATAATTGTTCCTCCCGACCTCGCCCCGGAGAATCGAATTCTGTACTTGGGGTACGGCAGCTTCGGCAGCGGCAGTTTCCATCCTCGCCCTGCTGCTCTTGGCTGGGCAGCGCAGTTTCTTGGTGCCAGTGGCGCAACTCGTGATAATGGTGCTCCAGGCTCGCAGGCATGCCCCCATAATCAGAAATGATTTGCACGACGGGCGTGCTGGGACCTTCGCACCTTTGCAAATTGGGAACGGCACAGACAGCATGCGTAGGAATACAATTAGGATGAAGCTGCTGCTGCTGCTGCTGCTGGAGTAGTTGTGGTTGCAATTTCTCGTGCGCCACGGCAGCACGGTCGGCGCCGTGGCAAAGCTCAAATAACGTCAGTACGTCGGAGGGACATGTGTCAGGCAGGCGGTGGACGCCGCTGCACTCCGCCCCCAGCATGCAGGAGCCACGGACCCAGTTCAAGCATAGATTCTGCGGCATCGAGGCGAACGGGCAGCTCGTCGGGTGTCGACAGGATCTGTACCAACGCAAACACGGATGAACTTCGTTGCACCACGGGCGATCCTCCGCCTTCACGCATGCTTCCGCAAGGACGCCCTGGGCGGAGGTGCGCTTCTTTTCACCACCTTCCTGAACAACACTTTGCTTGGACGGAGTTAATAGACGCACCTGCATCGAAGCTGTATCGCGCGAGGATAGGTTCGCTGGCGACGCACCCCCTGCGGAAGTAAACTTTTCACAGCTGTTGGACAAAGATGTGTCTGCCTCAAACGTCAGTGGCTTGCTGGGCGTTACATGGGTCGAGTCACAGCATCTATCGAGGATTCCAAAACTGACGCCCTTTGGTAGCCGTTCAGGAGCTTTGTCCGGGACGGATGCGGCGGTGTTCGTAGTTGTCGCCGCAGCTTCACTTGCAGGGGCACTGTCAGTATTCTCGCCCTGCTTCCTTCCAGACATGGTGGCGCGCCGAAGTGAAAACAGGCTGGCCTTGCTTTGAATGAAGCAGGCCGCCTCTTGGTTGCAGCTACTCAGTTCTAGAAGCACCTGCAGCAAGTCGTCCTTCTCGGCGGCTCTCAACTCCTTCTCTAACGCTCGCCCCGTGAGTTCCACGGAGGAGTGCCCGATGCCTCTGGAAGGACTGACGCCTGGCGAGTACATCATCGGAGAGGTGTACAGTCGCCTTTTTGTTTCCGTCGTTTGGCATCCCCGTGTGGTGGCGGGAGAGACGGAGCCGTTACCAAGCGAGGCGTTTTCCGAATACGGCGAAGGGGTTATCACAGTTACTCGAACCGGCATCGCCCCTGCCTCCTCGGAGAAAGTTGAGGCCCGCCGGTTCGCGGGCACGGTGGCAGGGAAGTTGCAGGTGGCATGAGACTGTAACTGACGACCTGGGCCGGATGGAGTCCGCAAGCAAGTTGCCGGAAAGGGGAGGGATCCGCCCGCGGGCACGACTTGCGCCCCATGCCATTGCGACGAGGAAGACTCCGCGGTGTGCCCCACAAAGCGATGGTACAGTATGGAATGGATACGAGGTGGCAGCAGCGGCACAAACTGCGCATTTGCAGGCGTCATGTGCGCCAACAAATTCTCATTTTGCTGTTGCTGCAGCTGCTGATGATGGCGTTGATGTTGATAGTGGTAGTGGTAGTGGTGGTGGTGGTGGTGGTGGTGGTCATTTTGACTCGACTGTGGCGCCGTACTTGGCGTGTGTCGTCGCACGGCCGCATTGCGGCTGCGCTGGTGCCTGAGAGAATTCTCACCCAGAAGACAATCTGCCGCTGCTGTCGCAGTCGCGGTGGGAGAGGAAGCGCCGGGCATTATTATTCCCTCTGCCTGTCTTTGTCGTCCTGGACGTCCGAAGAAGCCGAAGAGACAACAAAACTGCTCAAAAAATATACTGCGAGTGCCCGACGGAGCCCAATGCTATTTGCTCCCACACACCCCTATTGACTAATGTATGTGTGGAGATATGTGTGCGTATATATATATATGTAGTTCCTCTCACGGTGTATTCTTTCTTTGCGTTCTTGTGACTCACGAGTGCGGACACTCACACGCACACACACACAGTGGTAGAATAATAAAATAATAACAGGCCAAGCAAATCACACAGAAGTGGAGAGCCAATGCCTTTCTGAGGCGGAACAGCAACAACAAAACAAGAAAGAGAGAAGGAAGAGAAAGTACGCCCACGGCCATAGCAGCGCACTCGCATCCTCCTCGTCACCCGCAACGCGGCATCCCTGGAAGAATGAGAAGGAGGTGAGGAGAATCCACAATTTTCTTTTCATTTTCTTTTTTTCCCGTACTTTACTATCCTTTCCTTTTTTCTTTCCATTGTTTTGCTTTCTAGCTGAGTTAAATGTGGGTGTAACAGAAACCGCTTAGCCTGCCACTCTCGCTGCCCAGGCGCGCACGGGAGCGAGTGTCGCTGTCGTTCTTTTCTTCCCGCTTCCTTTCCGGTCTCTCTTCCTCTCGCTTCTTCCCTCCCTCCCGTGCACGCTGCAGTCAACTCCCTGCTTCATCTTCGGCTCCCTCGTTGGCGTCTCGCTCACGCCGCGGCTGCCTCCTGCAAAGCCGCCTGCTTCGCGCGCATGGTGTCCACCAGCTGCGCGAGTTGTCCCCGCTTCATCCGCAGCTTCAGCTCCAGGGACTCGATGTTTTCGCGCACCGCATCGGCGCGGCTTGCGAAATACGACTTGGCGGATGCCATCGGCTTCTCTAAAAAGTAGTCCGTTCCAACATCTACCAGCACACGGTCGCTTGGCACGATGCGGCCACTCGCGTAAAGGGCGCTGCTGATGCAGATAAGCGCCTCCTGCGGCTTCTCTGGGCTCGCGCGGGCCGCCTCGCAGACCTTTTGGTACTCACCCAGCACCTCGCAGTTGCTCGCAAAGCGATTCTGCGCACCCACAAGGCTCTCATGGGCAGCCGACAGGCTGTTCACATCCTCCTGCAACTGTTTCCGCAGCTCCTCCAGCTGCTCAAGCGGAAGTTGTGCAATGTTGATGGCGCCACCGCTACTATTTTCCGCCGATCGTCCACTCATCGCGTCGTAGTCTTGTTGGTTCGCCCTTTTCCTTGAAGCTGCGGGGGAGCGGTTACAGATCGTTTATGGTTACACCTTTTTATTAATTTCCACGCGCGTCCGTTTGCTCGCGCCGGGCAGGAAGCAAAAGCCAAAAAAAAAAGTCGTGGAGATGGGTGTGTGAAACATGGAGACTTCAGCAAACAACATTTGGCTCCGGGGAGTCGAGAGAGAGAGAGAGAGAGAGAGAGAGAGAGAGAGTGAGAGAGAGAGTGTGTGTGTGTGTGTGTCGTCGTCG